CCCCCGCCTCCCCCCTGTCAGAGCCCCCGCCTCGCCGCGCGTCTTTTCGGTCGTTTGTTCCTTATCCAGTGCCTAACCCGCGCTCGAATCGCTTATCCCATCGACCTTTTTAGCGCAGGCACGAGCTTCAGGCAGCAGTTTTACTTGAGAGGGCGATCCAATTTTTTTTCTTTCTTTATTTTTTTTTTTATTTTTTTTTTTTTTAAATTTTTTTTTATATACTGGCTTGCCTTTAGGCACAGTAGGGACTGCAATGACCGACTTTGACACCTTAGACCTTAAGTGTATTACATTTCGCAATAAGGAACCGCTATCTCTGGCTCTCCCATATCTGCATGGGGAAACCAATGGCATGTATGTTGTTTCTAAAATGGGCCGGAAACGGTGATCCTTTATTGCAAAATGTAATCCAAATACGACTTAATTATTTTTTTCCCCTTTAAGTCCCTAACCCGCGTTAGAGTCGCTTGTCGCTTACTCCACCGATCTTTTTCAGCGCAAGCAGGAGCTGTAGGGAACAGTTAAACCAGAGGTCATCCAACCATTCCTTATTTTTGGGCATACTGACTTCTCGGGCATACCACTGGGGACCCCACTGCACAACTCTAACGGAACAAATATACGAAAAAAAAGAAAGAAAGAAGAAGAAGAAAAAAATACTCTCGTCCAAGCAAGGAAGCGAATGGATACACGTGTGGATATCCCAAGTGGATACATGAGTTTAGTTATGTTTGAGAGGCAACACGGGGAGGGTCCAAAGTGTAAAAGTTGCTGCCGCAAGGAAATGTGACTGGGTTTCTTGGGTTACTCGCCCGTCTTGTTTCAGCCAAGTTGAAATTGTTGGTTTTGTTGAGTCTTACGTGCCTGCTCGATAATCGAAGGAGAACACGTGACCTCAGATCGTTCCGGTTGGTTGACGGTGCGCACCGCTCTGCGTCTCGAAATTGAAAGCAAAGCCGATGAATTCGTCGCCCTTCTGATATAAAGACGTAATTACACTGCGCGGTGAACCCTGTCGTTCGTATACCTCAATGCTTTCCCGGGCTCATCTCCAAGTGTAGTTACGCCCTTATGTCAGCCAAGCAACGAATTGTCCCACTCGTCTCCTCTCTGTCAGGGTTGCCGCGCCACGAAAATCCGAAGAAATTAATTTTCAAACCATCGCAAGAAGAAAAACAAGTGGGAAAGCTCTAATACGTTCGTAATACCACTGCCATGCGAAGGAAAAATGCAGTATGAACCCTCAGGTGTTGCCTTTCCTTTCATAAAATGCGAATTTTCTAGTAAAGTTATGCATTTTTTCCTCCCAATTTTTCAGATAATTTTGTTCGCAATTTCACCTGAAGACTCTGAAAATCTAAAAATACCTCAAAAATAAACGTTTTATCGAAGTAAATATGGCAACTCTCGGGTGTTCATACGGCGTTCTTCCTTAGCACGGCAGAACAGCGCTCAGATGTTTTCCATGCAGGCGCGTTTTTAAGTTCGCGATTCTGTACTTTAATGTGTAACTATACTTGTACTCTAACATTGTTCGATTGTATGATCAAGACAATATTTTAACCAATTTTTTCATCGTTTGATTGCAGGTGGATGACCAAATGAAACTACTCCAACATTCTTGGTCGGACATGTTAGTTTTGGATCACATACATCAACGAATGCACAACAATTTACCAGATGAAACGACCTTGCACAACGGTCAAAAGTTCGACCTCCTGTCACTAGGTCTCCTCGGAGTCCGCTCATTAGCTGATCATTTTACCCAAGTCATGCACAAATTGCAAGACCTCAAGTTTGATCTTTCTGATTATATTTGTGTCAAGTTCCTTTTACTACTCAATCACGGTTAGTATTTTTTTCTTTCTTTCTTTCTTTTTCTAAGTGATTAATTTTACCTACCTATTCCAGGGATCGGGAAATATTGATTTTAAAGAAAGGGAAAAATAGTAAACTATTTTCGAAACAGCTAAACGGTGCTTCAGACTTGTCTAGTTACGAGAAAAAAATCTTACTCTGTAATAAAAAATTATGAGATTAAAGCGTAACGTGTCAAGTCTGAAGCACGAAGCGCTTTGAGAGGTTGGACCGCGAAGCGGTCAGGGGCCGTAGCCCCATAGTCCTTAACAAATGCTTAAAACTGTCCATCTTGGATGAAAATCCTATCCACATACCGCATGGTCAGGAAATTTCTATCACTATAAAATGTACTTTGGGTGAGGAGAGAAGAAGTGGGAGCAAGGGGAAGGGGAAATAAGAGTTGGTTAATAAATTGAACAGAAGAACGTACCTACCCTTGGGAACAAGGTTTACTTATGTCTCACGGAAAGTAAAGAAAACCTTTAAGTAGAAATGTTTAGTCAAGTAAAAAATGAAACTGATTTCCGGGCCGGATTTACCTACTTGCCGCCCATGGGCCGCTAGTATTTTGCCGCCCCCTCCTCATTCGTTTTGAAACATCAATGAAAACCATCAAATGAACGTGCCAGCGGGGGAGGGGTGCATAAGACGCGTTTACTTGTGTTGAACACATTTTTTGGGAAAGCCCTGTCAACACTACTAGCAAAAGTTCACGGAACTTTGCGCGAAAGTCAAGTTTCGTAAACCTATCTCTGTGTGGACAAGGCCTTCCATTCATAAGAAATGAACGAAAAAATTATGAAAGAAACAACATAAATGTGGATTAATGATTTTAACTTCCGCCGCCGCGCCTCGCAGACCGCACCGTGTTTGACGCAATGCGTGAAGTATTTACGTAGTCTTGTAGGCGCTATGCGTCTCGCGCTGATCGCACTGTTTGCCGCACTGCGTGAGGTATTCATGCATTCTTGTAGGCGCTATCAGTTTCACGCTGTCCGCAATGACCGCACTGTGTTTGATGCAATGCGTGAAGTATTCGTGCAGTCTTGTAGGCGCTAATATGTGTTACATGCCGATCGCCGCGCCGAGGGCTTCTCCTTTTCATCTCAAGTCCTCGTCATCATTTCTCTCCAGGCCAAATTGCGTGTTTGGTTTCTCTCTTAACTCGACTAATTGAAGGTGCTGTCTCTTGTATCACTGAAAGACGACAAAAGTAGAAATTACTATTCTCTCAGAAAATTAGAGATTTTGTTGCCTTTTCTCGTTTGTAATTTTTTTTTCTAAATCAGAATTTTTCTTATACCTACATTTAAAAAAATTGCAAAATTTGCCGCCCCCTATGGATTTGCTGCCAAGGGCCGCGGCTCATGTGGCCACCGTCTTAATCCGGCCTTGACTGATTTGAAGGTGGTTTTTCCTGCTGCTGGCTTTAACGTTCTTCAGCCTGTACTTAAATTTCTGTTTGGTTGACTGAAAGTAATGACACAACACAAAAGTAATTACCGTGTCAAAGCACGGAATGAACACAAGATTGTGTTGCAATTATTTAGCTTCAAATTTTTTTGTAAGGATTTTTGAGCTTCCATTTTTTCAGCTTTGATATATTCTTCAAATTTCCAAAACTAGCAGATCAAATTCATTTTACATCATTATTATCAATGAAACTACTTCACATTTGTTGTTGGACACTTATTTCTATTTTTTCATTTCTTCACATCTCCATTTTCAATTTAATGAATTAAGTAAATCGAACTTTTGCAGCCAATTAGATTTAATGCTTCATGTGTGACCATCAGTGCGGGAGAAAGGACAGTAGTGCTGGAAAGCAACTTTTTTCGAGAAATTTAGATCAACTTGGATAAATGAATGGGAACTCAATTAGACAGGAGTTTGATTTTGAATGAATTTAAGGTCTTAAATTCCACCACAATCATTCAACATGTTCAAAATGTTTCTAAGAATTTTTCTTTCTCTCTGGTCATTCATCATACTTATATAATCAGCTTATATTCTTTCTTATTTATTATATTTTTCCGTAACTATGAACTGACAAAAAATTAAATTGATGTTCACAGAAGTGCGTGGTTTGATGAATCGGAAGCATGTTCTAGAAGGACAGGAGCAGGTTCAAAACGCATTATCCGATTATTGCGCCACAGTCTATCCCAATATTCAGGTGAGATTAACTTTACTTGATAATTTCTATGTACTCATAGAAATAATCATCAGAAGGTGTTAAATTTTGCTTTGTATAAGTACTTATGGCCCTGCTATTGAGGAACCTTCCAGAAGAAGGGCCCATTGCGAAAAATCGTGTTGAGGAAAAATTCATTTTAAAGTTTCCATAAATGTTCTCTAGCCTTAGGCAGTGACTTACAGTAGAGCTTTGACTCCACTTTTCCGATGTAAGTCACCATCTTTGGCAAAAAAGTACTATTGAAAACTTCAAATGCATTTTTCTGTAATGTGATTTTTCGATTGAAAAGCTCTTTAATTTTAAAGCATTGTTATTTTTTCGTAATTAACCAAGCAAGCGCATTGAGTCATCGGTGAAACTTTGTATCTGCAAAATTTTTCACAAAATTTAGGTTGAGTTCAACAGTCTTAATTTATTTCAATCGTAATAATTGTTTTTCAAGCTCACCACTCACATTCCTGATAAGGGGGCAGACTCCATCCTTTTCAAAGATGTTGTGCAGCATCATTTTCAAGGATGCTGCCAGGTAATTTCAGAAAAGTAATGTGGTGCATGCTTTCAGGAAACTGTGGTAAAAACAGGATGGCAAATTCTCAAAAAGTCATTCAAAACCTGGAAAAGCTTACCCAAAGCTTCCCCCTGCGAATCTCACCCAACCCTGAAAATTTGGTTTAAAGCCGCAAAAGGCACTGCATAACCTTGAAATGATTTCTTCCAGCTGAAAAATGTCATTATTTTCTATGGCACTTTCACGCTTCATCAACGAAAATTAGACGTCTAGTGAAATTCTCAAATTTTATACAAAGTCCTTAATTTTTGCATTATTTTGACATATTCTATTCCATTTTTTTCCAGAATAAATTTGAAAAACTTATGGCATTATTACCGGAGATCCATGAACTAGCTAATCATGGCGAAGAGCATCTGTATCATAAACATTGTACAGGTGGAGCACCAACTCAGACTCTTCTCATGGAAATGCTTCATGCAAAGAGGAAATAAGCTTCCTTTTTATCTAGTAAGTTTCCTGTTGATTTTTATGTAATGTATTATGTATTGAACAGTATGTCATGCTAAATTTGCTAGTGATAGAAACACTCCACTTTTCTGTACTTGCTCTTTTCCGCATCATTATTTTGGTAATGAAAGACAAGGCATATTCCTTGATATGCTTTTTACAAGCTTGGTGCATCTTGAGTGTTTCGAACTTTTAAAAGTAGCTAGATATTCCTGACATCAATCATCATGCCAAATTTTCTGTTCCAAATAAGCTGAATTTCTGTATGCTCTTTGAGAAAGAGCTAAATTAGAAGTAGAAGGATGCATTTATAGGGCTAGTTTCCGAATAAAATCGAAAGGACAGATACCTCGAAGTTTGATTTAAATTAGATGGTTTATCTCTGAAAAAAGATTCCTGCATAGTTGAGATTGTACATTTCAGTGCCAAATGAGATTTTATGTACCGAACCTCCTGAGTCTGTATTTGTCACTGGGTTTACTTTTCCATGAAGAATCAAATTAATATGCCGGAGATGACACATTCATGAGTCAATGGAGAGTCGCATTTTTGGATTTTATATTTTTTCATTTCACATGGACTCTCAACTGTGAGATGAATTATCGATACCGATAGTGGTTCCTCAGAGCAACTCTTTTAGCAGCCTTCCTTTTTCCCACCACCTCTGTTTTATTTTTGAGGGTTTTGAAATTAAAACTGAAGATGAAAAGTTCCATTGACGTCATGAGATTTGAAGCACCAACAGTTCTCAATATGAATGTAGAGGGATCCTCCTTTTCTCCAAGACTTTCGCTGGTAACAGCATGTCTCGTAAAGGAATGAGTCAATAATCCTCAATTTAAGGAAAGAAGGACATTTTTTAATGTTTGCAGGAATAAGGAAAATTGAATAATATTTTTTATATGTTTCTTAATATGACTGATATTTCTCTCTTTCTTTAGGAAGCCTTTGACCGAGGCAAGAAAATTTGCCATGATCTCGCTCATGAAACAGCAGGTCAGTTGTCGTGCTGATCGCCAAGGTTACCAGTTTCAAGAATTACCATACTTGGGTAACCAGTTACCATGTGCAAGGAATCAAAATGTTGCCTCTTCATGAATCACGCTTGGCCTAGATCTGAATTTTGGCTCAAATTCACTCAATGTTTTCAGTGCAATATGTTTTATTTATTTAGATACATAAAGAATGTATTTTTTTTATTTTGTGTTCTCATCCAACACAGCTTAAAAATAATTTGACAAATACTTATTTTAAACTGAAAGGAGAAATGTGTGTGAAACAGATAATCCTTGGAAAAGTTAGAAGCTGTAAAATTGAAGAAAAATCTATTTTTATACAGTTCAAACTCTCTGAAGCTTGGTGCTTGTTTTTTGTTTCATCCTCATCAATGTAATTATTTTTATTTATTTGCTTGAATAAAGGAAATTTCATGTTTTTTAACCAAGGTACTTTCAATGTTGAGGACTCTCTAATATCTTTTACCAGAGTTGAATGTACATATTTTCTTATCACTTGTTCTTGAAAAGCAGCTCCTGTAAATTTTGTCTATAAAATGTTATCCTTGTCACTTGTTACAATGTTAAATTATTTTCTCATATTTCCTCACTCTGCTCAGTTTGGAGAAATGTTTCTCTCAATAACAAAATAATTTATTCGGTGTTATGATGAGCTAGTCTCATCATTCAGCTATTTTTGATCAAATTATTTTTTATTTTGAAACATTTTGATTTTTCCACATCTGTCGGATTCTGTTGCGTCACTCACACCTATTTGAACTCTAGGGCGTTTTGCTTTTCCAGCTTTGAAAGCCCCAAATCTATAATAACCTTTTAATGCGCACTAAATTTTGGTCAACATGGTATTCTCAAGATGAACATTGAGTTTTGTTTGTTGGATTCCTGCTTTAGTGTTGGTTTCATTTAATTTTATGGATTAATGTTGCTAAATATGTTGTTTTTGGAAGCTCATGGTGTTCCGCTGTGGTTTTTATCATCATGATAAAAAGAAAGAAAATTCAAATATTGGATGGATAGAGTAATCTCAGATATAGGGTATATGTTAACACTTGGTCTGGCTATAATTCTATCCCAAAACTAACAATGCATGTATCCCGCTCTTTGAATTGTCAGTTACTCTTTTCGTAATTTTTTTTCCTCTCACAACAGCTGTATCATTCAGATCAAGCTGATGATAATAAATGCTGAAAAATGGATCAGCCCAATGAAATTTAAAAAAAGAAAGGTAGCAGCTTCCACTCTTGTTACTTTATCGCTCCCCTTGTTTTTAATCTATTGCACCCCAATTTTGGTTTAACAAACTTGGATGAGTTTTTTTGTGAAGCAAACATGGAATGTGGGACAGTTTGAGTTTGCAATGTTTTTAATATTGAAAATATTTTGAACATTTCTATCGCCTTTCTTGATAGTGTTTTTTAAAAGCCTATCATCCCTGTTTTTTTTTATTATCTTGCTTTGGATCGTTTTATGTAATAAGATGATTTTCGTACCTCTAGGTTTAGGCAATTATTTCATTTAAATTTGGCATTCGGAAAATTTTATAATTTTTATGTAAAAATAAAAACTAACGGAAAACTTTCAAAGGCAATAAAGTAAGGAAATTAGTCGGCACTGGTTTTCAAAATAGAGGTATGGCCATCCTTGTCTTGATATTAAAAACCCTCCCTCTCTCTATGCCATGGACTCTTATCAAGGCTTTCATTACTTCGAATTGTTCTCCCTTTAAAATTTCAGCACCAGAACTAGATATTAATTTGCCAACACTATGAATGCATCTTGAAGTTCCCTTTTCCATCCTAATTTTCTTGGCAAAAGTGCTTATAAATTTCTGGAGTGAAGCTTACTTTTCTTGTAAATCCTCGCAGAACACCACTTTTATTAATCATTAAATTTTTTTGGATGAAATTTTCATTGGAAAAATTTGGAACTCTTTTGTGCTGTCTGTCTCGTAGCTAATGTGATAAATTGTTTTTTTTTCTCTTTTTTTTGGAACCAGAGCTTTTTGTGTAAGATAGTAAAACTAATTAATAAATAAATAAGAAGTTGGCCTCTTACAAAATTTGATGGTGGCGAAATTTATCTCGTGCAATATGCAGGGTTTAAGATCATGATGTCTGCATATTTTTCTCTTCTTTTTTTTCCGAAAATCAGATGTTTATAGATTTTGCTTCTTTGTAAATTGAACTCAGGGATACCTTTCTTTTGCTTTGTAATTTTCATTTATCCCTTGTTTCCTTCGCTGTTTTATATAAGATGTTGATGTACAAAAGAAGTGATAATTGGTTTTATGGCTCTGTGATTTCTCTTTGCTCTGAACAGGCAATACCTGTATTCAATGATCCTCCTCTTTCTGTAAATCATCTTACATCTTCACAAAAAATATATTTTGTCTCTTGTCAACTCTCTTTAATACTTTTTCTCTCTTCCGATTTCTTTCAGTGATCGATCAATTAATCAATCTGATCAAAAGAAATTCCAACAAAAGCTTGCAATAAATAATAATTCCCTATTACTAAAATATTGGCAGGAAAGATAAAATTATGAAATCCTTTTTTCTTTCTCCGTCTTGACAGATCTTTCACTACCGTTATTTCTGGTGCTCCTTTTCTTATGAAATTCCACAGGTTCTTTGAAAACTCATTGCATCCTTAATGCGTCAATGTAGAATTCCTTCAAAAGAAGAGCCTCAATTTAGTACTATAATTCTTCTTCCTTTGATTAGGGCATAAGCCTTGTTTGTCCAACCAGTATTGTGTTAGACACGTATATAAGGAATAAAATGGGTAAACGTTGATAAAATTGATTAAAATTGGGGTTTATCCAATTGGACAGTAATCACTGATTAATTAGTGGAATTCCTTCCGATAAACTTTCAAATTTCTTTTCTTCACCACTTATAAGGAGCCAAAAAAATCTCAATGCAAAATTTAAGAATTACGAAAAGAGGGGGAAAAAAGAAGGTAAATATGAAAGCAGAGAAGTACTAAAATTTGTGGATTGTTTTTTCAGATCCCCAACTGTTCAATGATTTTAAAATTTCCTTTATTCAATGCTCGTTATATTGTACATCTTCATGTTAGTTGTAGCAAAGAATGTATATAATGTTGTACTTTATGTACCAAACAAGTTATTAATTTATTATTTGTAAAAATTATGTGGTAGTTGAGCAGTATTTTGTATTATTAATTTTATCTCCATTTTTCTTTTTTCAATCAATTTCAGTTAATTAAATTATTTTAATTGCTTGTCAATTTTCAAATCATTATTTTTTAAAAGTAAGATTAATTGTTAATGTTAGGGTATCGCAAATTTGTAAAAACTAGAAAAGAGGGTATTTTATCACTCTTATTCTGAAGAGGAAAACATGTTGGGGAAAAGTAATGCATTCTGGAAAATGTTCTTTTCATTCTTGGTCTGAGTTATTAGAATGAAATGATCTGTGCCTTTTCTTCTCTCAAAAGTTATTGTGCAGAATAAAACAAAAGTTGAAACTTACAGAGTTGAACAGAGATTACCGTAGTTTGAGTTAAAGTGGGACGGAGAACTCGTGCCAGTTGAGTTTGCAGTTACATATTAACTTTCCATTTGTAAATGCCTATGCTGCTGCCTTCCAACAGCAACCCAGGATATCACTGCTACTGCCGTGTGCAGATACGTGTAATGTCTAATGCATGTTACAGATGAAAGCATTCAGCTGCTAACTCATCTGGCCTGAGTTTTAGTAGAAATGAATTTACTCAGCTCTGTTGAATTTGGTCACTAAACATGTTTCACCAGCCTGCCTAATTTTTCTCCAAGGCTTTTCAGTTTTAACCTTTTCCTCATTCTTTTTTCTGAAGAAACAAAAGTTCTTAGGAAGTACGCTTATGCTGTCTCGACAATTCTATTCATCTGAGTGATGCGTGTTTTAAAGTTTCATTTGGATACCCGATCATCGCCACATGTTTGTCCTAAGTTATTTATTTACTTGCGCGTAAATTTTAGTTGTTTTATTTTTTTAAAATTCCCTCTGGTTTGAAAAATACTTGTTTTAAGGGGGCTTTACAAATTGAATTCTGTAGGATGAAAAGCATTGAAATTTTAGATTTCATGTCATGTTTGTACAAACATTTCTTGGCAGGTCTTAAACTTTTAAGAAGGCTGTGTTGTAGTGATGTTAAGTATGTAAATGAATTTATCTTTCTCTGTGACCTCTCTAGTATCAAGCTAATTTTCTATGAATATTTCTCCTCAATCATCAGCTTTACAACTTCTTTTTCATCACCGTCATCAAATCTTAGAAAGCCTCGTCTCAGATTCTAGAAGTTCCACTGTGGATCTAAAAATTTATTTTGCTGAATTATTATTATCAGGAGGAAGTAGTTTTTTACTACAACCTTTGAATACTTATCATCAGTCCAGAAACTTAGCAGTAGTGGGCCTCATTGAGTTTTTAGCTATCAAACAACTTGAAGATCTTAATCGTGATGCTCATGTCCTTGGACCAAAGTTTCAGTGCTTTGCAAAGCTGAATAAACTGATTCTACTCCCTCTCATTTTTCATGGAAGTACTGAAATGAACTTCGAAGTACCCTCAGAAATTATGTCCATGCCCACATCTTTGCTAAACTTCACAGCCCTCAGAAGGAACTTTTTTTGCTAATGTTCCAACTCGGGGTGCTCCACAAATTGCTGAATTTATCATGACTAGAACATTCTCATTCTAAACATATGTGTCAGTTTGTTTTTGCATGTTTGTGAGCATTAAATAAAAATCTTCGCCAAATGTCGAATCACATTTGAGACCTGCTAAAGCATCACATTAAGATTTTTACACATGTTATTGAACATTTTAAATCAAAATTTTTCAGCAGGAGCATTGTTTTTAGTTATTTAGTTGAGGGTTTTGCTGTAATTCTCATCACATTTAAAGTTATTTGTATTTGAAGTCCAAGTATTAGTCTAATACCAAATAAATTTTTTGGGGCAGGGAGCACTATCGATTGAGCTCAAAGAATTCAAGTCTACTATTGTTTCGGATTGTTTCAATGTTGCACACTTCGTATTGTGATGTAATGATGTCAGAAGAACTTGTATTGTTGATTTCTGTTTGGCGAGGTACATACAAGTTGTTTTGAAGGTTTTAGTTTACTTTTTCTAAGAAAAGAAAAAGACAAGAGAAAAATGAATTATTCCTCCTGAAATACCTAAACAATTTTCACACCATATTATTTCTCATTTCCAGCTCTTTCTGTTTGTTCTCTCCCTGTAAACAACTATTTTTCAATATTCTTCAGTCATTATTCTAGGATGATACCATGTGTTTCGTTTTCTCTCCTAAGTTTACTCTTTTAATTTGTATTACATTCCAGAAGCTTTTTAAATTTTAAATGTCTTCTTAATTTTCTGTTTTCTGCTCTTCAAATGCTTAGGAGAATTTTATCAGCTTTGCCTTTCGTAATGAGTAATCAGTTAATCTATCTCATCAAATTCTGTGTAGAAAGCACATTTTAAAACAAAAATTAACAGCCTTACAATCATAAGAATGAAGTTTGGCTACAGGCGCAGCAGTAATAACCAAAAATACCTATTTATCCTCTAACATTCGATTCGGCATCTTTAACGCTTCAATTTGAAGCTGTAGTAATTCTGTTTCCTCTGACAGAGGTGCTCTCAGATGTATCTCGAGTTTACATCAGGTTTTACACTCAAATGACTTGTATCCTTTTCTCATCACATGTAAAGACCAAGTCCTAAAAAGTTGGCTATTTTTATGGAAATTTATTTTTTAAGATGTATTGTCAAAGATGGTGATCATCTAAAACTCAGTTTCTCCTTGTCCTCATTTCATTGAGAAGTTTGTGAGAGATGAAATATATTCTAATGCCCACCATAATTTTCTTCCTCTTCTTCATTTAATTAAAAATTTTAAAAAGCAACATCGCATTAATGTTAATGTTCTTGTCTCATTAACCATTTTAACTGTAGACATACTTGCTCGTGATTTTAGGAAGTTCTGTTTGTATCTCGTAAAGCAAAGGACAGAGAAATTTAAATCAAGCTCTAAAATTATCACACATTCCAGTTTTCTGTTTCATTTTGATTTCATTTATTTTCTTATTCTAATTTTTTTTCTTTTTTTTTTTCAATGAGCCAAGTTTATTTTGTTTTTGTAAGAACTTCATTATTTTTAAGATTGATCGGTGATATCTTGTTAAATTAAGTTTGAAGAATTCGTAAACCAGGAAAAAATTCATGATAATTACGATTTCTCTGAATGGTTTAAAATGGAGGTAATACATATTTTTGTGCTTGAAAGTTTTATTTTTGAATATTTTTAATGAAAAGACTAATTCGTCAGGAGGGATTAGTTAGTTTACCTTCATTCATTCAGTGTTGTTAAATGTTCACAATTTGCATTGTATTCTTTTTTTATTGTCACCATATTAAACATTTATGGGCCGGTTAGAGAGTGACCAAATGAAGCACTCCCTCTTGTGCTAAATATGCGAATTTTCAGAAGTATTATTTAAGTTTTGCTCTAAAATTGTGTTCTACTCCAGTGTGAAGGTCAAAGTTTTTTGTTATCTACTTACTGGCTATTTTCTCATTCGCTTATCTAATACATCAGAAAACCTTTTTCTAAAGTTTGTCAGGGACTTACGACTTTTTTTCTCTGCACAAAGTATTAAGGAATATAAAATTTTGGGAAAATTTAATGTGAGGTTCAAAACTGAAGTATCAGACTGAGAATTCTTAACCTGATGAGATATCAGATCTACTTTAAGAAACACCAGAGTTGGTAAACACGAGAGGAGGCTATTTTAAATCTCTTTTTTTCTATTTCTCTTTTTTTAAAGGAGGGGACCCATTTGTATTCTCCCTGAACAACAGTTAGTCCCAATGTAATCACTCACTTTCTAAGCCTTAAATGTCATAAAATCTGAACAACTTCACTTATGCTCCAATGGGCAGTATTTTGAGGATCTTATTCTCTTTTGATGATATTAGTTCAAGTTACAAGGATTCCCTTCATTTGGTCAGGATCTACGTTGAGGTCGTACTATTGTGTTCACTGCCTTCCCTAATGGTGGCAATAACCAGAGAAATAATTTATTTTTTTTCCCATTAAATGAAAGAAGGGTTGATGAATATAGGTATATATTTTTTTTCTTGTGCATTTCATGCAACAAAACATATTTTTTTACCAGAATTATTGAAAGCAAAATGTAATTTATTTTTATCGTCGAATATCACCTCTCCTAACTTTTCTTTAACAAGAGATGGATACAGCAATTTTTAATTCTTTTTACTGCGTTGTATTTTGTTGATAATTGTACATAACACTGCATAAAATACATAAATGAACCTATTTGTGTAATTAATTGAAAGTGAAATGTCTATTTTTCAGTTTTATTTATTTATTTATTAATTTATTTATTTTTATGAGTAGAATCATAATCATTGTTATAAATAATTGGATGACATGTGATGACTGTTACAAAATCTTTTCTCAAGTTGTTGGGTCCACTTGGTTACCTTTATTATCTCGTTTAAATGTAAATACATTTTATTTTTTCCTTAACTATGGTAGAAAATCTTAACACAAGCTGATCATACCTTTTTGATCTTCTTCAAATGATTTGACTCATATCTTGACTCTGCTTTTCAAATTTTCTCAAAAAAATCTTTGCACAGTAGTTGGTATCGTTTTTCCCCCTTTTTTAAAATTATTTTTCTTTTATTTTGTCTTCTCCCAATCATAGATTGTTTTACGTTTTTGATTTGTTATCTGCATCAGTAATTTTTGCAGCACATTAGCACCTTCCTCCTCACTTTTGAAAGTAACATTGATATAAAAGATTATTCTCTGTGATCGGAGTTTATCCCTCATGTTCTAGAAGAAATTGTATAAACCTATGCCCTTTCAATCAACATCACATTTGTTGTTTAATTATAGGATGGATAGGGGAAACAGGTATCAAAATTAATTTTTCATTGGAAACTAAATACTGCTATCGAGCATTATTCAATACCGTAAAATTTCACTTGCCGTATATTCTAAGAAGCCTTCAAAGAATCAAGCACTCTGCTCACATTTGTTCTGCTAATTTTTATCAGAATAACAGAATTTTCTCATTTGAATAGAGCATCCTCTTATCAATTGCAGAAAGGTTTTATTATCATTTTATAGAAGATATATTGAGTCATTTTCCCAGAGATTAAAAATCAAGATGCAATTTTTCCATCGCCTGTTCTTTGCTCTGAATTGGAAGGATAACATATTGAAAGGAATTCCGAGCTTTATACATGCATAAGAGAAGTATGACTGACGGCATTCAAAATGTCTGCTATCAAGTAAAAACATGTTGGTCTTCAGGCGGCTCTGCAGTACTTAGCAATTTTTTCCAATTTTTTTCTTTTTTATCTTTTTTATCTTATAACAAATTTCACGCCAAAAATGATTATTTTTCTTTTTTGTATCAAGATGATCTGATAAGATATTTTGTGGCTCCTACTCCAAGGAGTTGCCAAAAAAAAAAAAAAAAAAAAAAAAAAAAAAAAAAAAAAAAAGAATCAATCTCCTTTTGGAAAAATAAAATGAAGTTGGAAAGTAGAGCAATCAAAGAGGGAAAACTATTTGACTATGCTGGTGCGTCTGTGACCTTAAATTGAAAACAGCTCATTACATCACTGAGATTATACAATAAATCTATATCAAATCGATGTTTACTTTTCTTCTTCCCTTTTTTTTCATTTTATCGTTTGAAACTTCTTGGCTTTGAAGTTATTTTCCCCCCTTGTGTTTCTCTCCAGCATGTATTTTTATTTCATTGCACCAAAGTTGTGAGACTTCCCAGTTCATAATCCAATCTGTTTCAATTTTCCTTGCCTACAAATCCACAGCAAGGTAATTCAGATTTTTCTTTTTTAAAGCTTGCTCATAAAATGTTCGAAATATTCGACAACGTTCACATTCTTTTAAGCAATTTACAAATTGTCTTTTAAGTGAAGGATCTCTTTTGAGAAATTGGATTTAAAGAAAGTAGTCAAATTGTTTATGTTAAGATTGAAGTAACCTTATATTTTGAAACAAAAAATCACAAACACTAATTTTATTTTAAATGTATTCAGTCCTCTCATTTAATTTGAAATGTGTGATTTACCTAAGCAGTCAAAAGGATAAATATGAGGGACTTTCTTATTACAGCGACAGCAAGATAAATTTTTTCCTTTCAGCTAGATCAAAAAGAAAAAAAATTGTTTGGCCAATACCATAACAAAACTTCCATCATTTGCTATGTAATCGCGGCTGTAAAATGAAATGCCAAGTAAAAACAGCAAGTAAAGCTATAACAAGAGTAATTAAAAATTCAGTGAATATTGAGTCAAACCAGCTAGTAAAGTATTCTCTCATTTTCCTCCTTCCTTCTTTCTATGTACATCATTTTGAAGTAATTATGTAATATCATTTTTTATGATTTAATCTTTTCTAACTTTATTTGTTATTATTTTATTAAATTACATGTATAAGGAATTCGTTACCTCACTTAGAACTTGTGTTTTACCAAGACAAGTTATCAGTACCATGTTAAATTTGTAATGTGTAAATAAGTAAGTAAATATATTTATATATATAAATGAACATATATATATATAAGTATATTAAATATAAAATAAATAAAATTTAAGTATTCGTTGTACCTGCGAGTTTTAATTTTTTATTCTCATGAGTGCTAAAATATTGTCTCAAGTTACAATCCTGTCCCAACATCAACTACAAATTTTATTAATGGGCTAAGGGCCAAAAAATTGAAAACTGAGTTCGTGCGTATTTTATTGTAAGCACCAAGGATAAAAGGCTGCACAATGGCCAAGTGCCACCAATACTACAGTAGTGCGTATGATTTCTGGAAGGTAGCCTTTACCACCAACGCAAATGAAAAAAATATAAAAAAAAAAAAAAAAAAAAAAAAAAAAAAGATAAATTAGGACTAAAATTCTACTCCAAAAAGATAATTTTGCAAAACTCGAAGTTAACTTTTTGGCACTTAGCCTGTTATTCAAAAATCTTCAACTGGGAAAGTATTCAGGCATAGGGTGTGTAAGAGACGTTCTCACAAGTGTCTATAGATAGTTCTCATGCCATCACAATTTATTCCTTATACCCTGTAGTATATCAACGGCCGAAATACGAAATCTCTGTTTTCAACGTTGCAGACTTCCTGTCATACTTCATTATTTCTTTTGAAAATTAGTCAACATAATTTCCTGAAAACTACTTTCATTTGTGTTCTCTGTGAGCAGAATATTCCAGAGATTGAAATTTCAGGGTCAAAATCGAAAGTTCTCCAACTGAGCTAAACTTCAGCCAGTCCCATGCCAAATGACTTAAGTAGTCCGATATTCTGGTTTCAAAAGCTCCAAGAATCTGCCAGGTCGCGTGACCGGCGAATAAGTCATGCCGGAAACTGTCATTGAAAACGGTTGAAAACGTCAGTTCATCGGCTGAGGAGCCTGAGGACCGTGCACGATTGATTTTGCCTCAAACTATGTAAGATTCGACGATGATCTCGAAATTTTTTTTCCCATTCAAAACCGAGAAATATCGACAGGAGATGAAATTTAAGCTATTAATTTGGCTTGTTTCTTTTCAAAAAATGAAACAGGACGGAAAATTTTGAAGCATTGCAATGGAGATTAAGTGGTTTCGCACTTTGACCATCGGTATTGATGGTGAAGTTTTGAAGGTGGTTTTGAAGAAATGACATCAGGTATTTCTCCATGAAAAAATAAAGTATGAAGTCTGACAGGAGGTCTGCAACATCGCCTACCAAGATATCTGAAATTTTTATAAATTATCCTTCCCACAAAGAAGAAAAATCAGGGCAGTTTTGTAGAAATGACATCAGGTATTTTTCTCAAAAAAAAATAAAGTATGAAGTATGACAGGAAATCTGCAATGTCACTTGCCAAAATATCTTCACGTTTCTTCAATTTCACAGCCTCTATACTCAGCATCATATTGATGTTTAAATTTAAAAAATACAAATCTTGATTGTAATGTTCAAAAATCTCCAAGTATGCTTCCATGCCTTTGAGGAAAATTAATCAAAGTTTTTCCCACAAATGAGAGATTTTTTTAGAATGAGTGATGGAAATTTCAATAGAAACTGTTGGTTATTTTTCCTTTAAAAAATAAAACACAAACAGAGACTTACAATGTCGCAAACTGAGATAAGCTCCAGTAGACTTTGGCTACCAATGATTGGATTATTGAGGAGAGAAGTAGAAAAAATGGTTGTTTTGTTGCATGCACATTAGGGGCTAATTTTGATGCAAAGTTATCAAAGAAATTAACATCAAGATTTTGTCAAATTCTAAAATAAAAACCCCATATTAGTGAAAAACACTGAATTAACTGCAAAATACTGATGGCCAAATGTGAAAGCACGAATTCCTATGATAATGTTTCAAAATTTCTGCTCCAATTTTATTTTTTCGGAGGTAAGTAAACGAGTCAACTTCATAGTATGATATGTACACAGAGTATTCTGCAAACAGAGGAAAAAATTCAAGGAAGTTTTCAAGAAATTATGTTGACTAGTTTTCTGAAGAAAAAATGAAGCATGCCTCTGGAACGTCGAAAATGGAGATAAACGGTTTCGCACTCTGGTCATCAATAAGGAACATAAAAAATAAAATTTATGTTAAAATTTATTAAAATAATGTGATGAAGAAGTTTTAAAATTTCAAACCGGCATTTTAATGTAGAAAAGGACGAAAAGGGTTCTCTAACTTGGATATTGAAACAAAGTTTTTAGAGTTTTCTCTTCAAAATTTACGAGCTTCTGACAAACAATGCCACTAGGAAGTAAATTACAGCTCCAGCATTGAAAGTAAAATTATGTATTTCTCACATGAAGTAGTAAAAAATGTACCAAGAGACGTAGACTGAAAGTAGCAAAAAGGAAATTCTTAAAAGGACTTGCTATAAACATGGAATAAAAGTCTCAATTATACATCGTAGGTGGACAAAGAACTTTTTAATGTCTGAAAATTTTTAAAAAACATAAATCTCTTCTAAGCAAAGCAATATGAGCAAATGAAAATACAAGAAAAACAGTTAAAGCCGTACAGAGCGACCTGATCAAAACCTCAGAGCTCTAAAATATTGAAGTAATAAATAACGTGAGCAGATAATTAATAAGTATTAGATTTAAAACGAGTCTGTTAAGACTGTTTCTTCTACTTTTCGTGTATTTTCATTTCTTGCGCTTGAGTCTTTTTGAGGAGGACGGATTCAGTTCCTCTTTCCTGTCAGCAGAAAAACTAAAATCCTGAGTGTTAAGCACTTCTTAGAGGCTGCTTCTGAGATCAACATTTTTGTTCAAGATTCACTACCCACACGGTAATAATATTTCCATAGGAAATTTTAACTCAGAACAAGGAACTTTTCTTTTTTCTTTTCAGGAAAATCTTTTGGTAGGAATTCAGTGTAAATAAAACTTTGCTGGCATAAGAAATTGTTATCTTTAAGAAAAAAAGATCAGAAAGTTTAAAACGGCTTCTAATTTTTCAAAACACTATAAAACATCACAACAATAAGATTTTTGGACAAGACAGATTTGTCATATCCAATAAATGCAAAGAAAACTCATAGAGTACATCGTGATGGCAGTTATTAATATCCTATTTAAGATTTGAACCTACTGATCAACATAATGCATATAATTTTTTCCTTTATTCATTAACACTTCTGTATAATTACTTTTTGTCAGTCGTGTTCTGCCTTCCTACTAAAATTTTAGGGGCCGCTTTGGCCTGAAAGCCCAACTTTTAGGAGCCAAATTAACATTTTGCATATGCATGATGTGCTATAGCTGCCGATTGTGAGTTGGAAAAGAATCGACAGATTTAGGGTGCCCTGATGGTCTAGCTCCCACAATTTATAGGCGCCAAAACCCAATTTTTAGGAGCATAGCACCCGGGAAGGCAGAACACGACTGACAAAAAGTAATTATACAGAAGTGTTAATGAATAAAGGAAAAAATTATATGCATTATGTTGATCAGTAGAAACTGTTGGTTATTTTTCCTTTAAAAAATAAAACACAAACAGAGACTTACAATGTCGCAAACTGAGATAAGCTCCAGTAGACTTTGGCTACCAATGATTGGATTATTGAGGAGAGAAGTAGAAAAAATGGTTGTTTTGTTGCATGCACATTAGGGGCTAATTTTGATGCAAAGTTATCAAAGAAATTAACATCAAGATTTTGTCAAATTCTAAAATAAAAACCTCGATTGTGAGTTGGAAAAGAATCGACAGATTTAGGGTGCCCTGATGGTCTAGCTCCCACAATTTATAGGCGCCAAAACCCAATTTTTAGGAGCATAGCACCCGTGAAGGCAGAACACTGACTGTCAGTTGTATTCTTGTACTGTTTACTGCTCAAGATTCCTGAGAAAAAGATGATCTCATAGATTTGTTAAGGCTTTCTTTTTAAATTACATTTTTTTAAATACATATTAAAGTTATAGATCTAAAAATCAATTGTCCCCTGGTGGATTCTTACTGGGAGGTGGTTTTGGTGCTCTTGATGACTTATTTTTTCCTAAATATTTGTGTTTCCCAATATGGAGGCCCATTGACAAGTATTGGTCATCGTTCGGTTTTGGTCTGTTTGGTCGTTTTTTATGGGAAGAACAAGAAGATTTCCAAAACAGGCCATTTAGTTCGGAATCTTGGTACCTGGAAGAATCAATTGAGATAATAGAACACAAGCGATAAAACATCACAATGAGGACAAACCAACACAACAATGAGGACGATAGGACATCAAAATAAAAATGATAGAAACAGAACTAGATCAGTAATAAACATACTTTTTGAGGAAAGAACTAAAGGATGTCATAGGAGTCATTATTTTTTATTTAGTTAATTTCATGTATTTATTTGTCTCTCAATGCAGTTATTATTTGACTGAAAACAGTGTCCTTGGGCCCTCGGTCCGAATTTTGTTGGCTCTTCCACATGGAGGTGCAACATCCATTGATGAGTCCTAATAGCACCTCAACCGAGACTCGTCCTAAGAATATTTGAATACGGTGGAAGGACTGACAAATTTCGGCCCCAGATTAAAATTATTTGTACATGGCACAGTGTCCAAACAAAATTTTATGATGGAACTATAGTGAGAATAAGATTCAATGGAGAACTGTCTTTAGGAGCTTTCTTTGCCACAAAAGAACTAAATCAAAGCTGTTGTGTGTCACCAAAATTTTTCGATTAATTATTCAAGGGCAGCGGGGCTTAGACAATAAAATCCAGAGATGTCAGTTGCCCAATAACCTTTGGGAAAGAAGACAGGTAAATGTGACGTTTTGGTGCTGCAGAACAACCTAACCCAACTTAGGTGCACTGTAAGAGTGACTTGTTTGTATGTATATGAAACAATACATGAGGTGTTAAGTTTGAGAATCAACTCCGGGGCCGAAGTAAAAAGTTACAGGCTACCAGCTAGGACTTACCCAGGCTCCTCCTTATTTAGTGGCTCCCTTGAAAGAAGGATGTGAATAGCAGGTACATCTCTTTGAACTATGAGAGGTGCTAGGCCATTAATTTTTGGTTCCCAGTGTTCCTCGAATCTGCAACAGAAAATTTGCTTGAAATGCGAGTTGTAGTATAATTAAAAGAAGATAAAAATTAAGTGACTGGCAGTCATTGAAAATGCCAAGACTAGCAATTCGACGGCGTAAGTCCGCAATCACATATCTCGTTTGCGGAGTCTGAAAATCTCCGCCTTTATGTTATTTTTTTAAAGGAGAACAAATTGACATCATTCCTTGAAGTTTTTGCAGAGTTTTCTTCGCACAGAGAGGAAAAATCACGACAGTTTTAAAGAATTGCCGTTGAGTAGTTTTCTGTTTATAAAATGGAGTATGACAGGAAGTCTGCGACATCGCAAACCGAGTTATGTGAATCGCGACTTTTGATTTAAAAAATCCCATATTTTTAAAGGTAGCTAACTGAGCCAATTTTTTTCTTAAAATTTTATCAAGGTTTTTGACAAAAATTTTGACAGAAAATGAATCACAATCTGAAGTAAAAAATCACTAAAATTACATATTCTGGGATTCAATTTCAAAAATTTTTATAGAATCCTTCATGGCTTCTGGAAAAAACTTATGAAACCTGCTGTGAGTATTTTCTCCCGAACAGCCAAGTCCTTACTACGATATATATTGCATAATACTTTCAACCGGCATTTGAAGGTTTCCTGCATGGTCTGTTTTTGCTGAAGAAGTGAAGAGCTCTTTTCTGGGATGGTCTGTGAAAAAAATTCTCAAAAATTAGTTAATCATGATATTTCTAAAATGGAATTGGTTCATTATCAAACACTGGTGCCTGATACACTTTTAAAAAATTACTTCCATCAAAAGAATGATTTCTGTAAAAGAAATCACTTGTCTTTTTGAAACACCAGTATTTTCTTTGATAAAAAAGTCCCTGACATGAGCAGCATGGTGACCTTCAGTTCAGTTGAGACGTGACTGAGATTTGCAGGAAACAAAAATTGCCATGGAGACGACAGAGAGAATCTGACTTTGAAAGCTTTACAGACAAAATAAGCTATTAATGAAAATTATCTTACTTGCGAGAGCAAATTTTACTGATTTGGTAGAGTCCAGCATTTTCTCGTTTTGTTATTTCAGCGCAGCTGATGGTCTTGGAGATGGCAGGACCAGTTCCGCTCCAAACAATGTCTTTTCTATCTTTGAATTCTTTCAATGCAAAGGTAAGTAAGTTATTCATTTTACTGCTAGGTTTAACCTGAAGAAAGGAACAGAAAATAAGTCTCCTAGAGTGCTTTAAATTATATCTCTGAAAAAATACCAGTGGTACAAACCACACTTTCTTTCCAATTTTTATGGGGTCCTGAAAAGAAGGTTCCACGGTTTTAGGGCTCAACGGTTTAGGAGAGTTACTTAAAATTTCAGATAATTCCTAAAAAAGATTGAAAAGTTGAGAAAATGCTCACGGTTTTGCAAAAAGATTCCAGCTTCCAAGTCGAAGTATGACTCATTATCCAAGTATCTGCGCAATGACTATATGAATGACCTATATGGATCCATCTTGTACCAGACCAAAGATGCAGAAAAATATATAAAATTAAAAATCTTGAATGCATTTTTGGATACTTTTTTTTAATTGTATCTAATACACATAGAAGATTTTTAATTTTATACATGTTTCAGCATCTTTGGACTGTTAAACAAGTTGTCCAATGAGTGATTATATTTAATGATTGAATTAACTGAGCCTTGAAATTACAAAATACTTCTCACACAGGTTTCCTTTGGATCTCTGTAATTTTTGCAACGTTCCAGAAGTCCTAAGTATTTTTTGAAAACTCTAGGCAACCAGCAGTCGTACTTCATGAACAAGACTTATCGGAAACAACTCAATTTTATTCCGTCCTTTTTTCTGTTGAAAACACTGATTCATAATTTGTAGTAAGTGAGCAGGAGAAAAATAGACATGATGCCAAGAAGAAAGGAGAGGAGAGGAGATGAGATGAGATTGAAAACAAACCTGCATCCATAAAAAATCTTTTGGCAAGTTTGGTATTGGAATATTTTCTTTGATCCACTCTTCTTCCACATTTTTACCTTTAGAATAATTTTCCATCGGGAGCTGTTCCTTTTGGTACCTTGAAATAAAAGGAATACAAATTAGAGGTGAATGAAACAAGTACAAGCATAGTAACAGAGGAAATATTAGAGATTAACTTGGTGTTTTTACAATATTTCCTTCTGTCTTAACAGAACTGAGAGAAACAGCTGAGTCACCACTCACCCTACTAGTAAAAACTTATAGCTGAGTTTTGTGAAACACTTTGCTGTTTCTTTGAAAAATACATCCTGTTCTAGGCTGAACTTTTTAAATGTGGCAAAAGTTACCAAAATAATTGGGATAAGAGGTATCCTAGATCATTGAAAATTGCAGATATTTTGAGACTAGGTACGCAATGCAACTGGAAAAAAGTATACATTGAGGGGGGGGGGGTTCTGTATTCAGACAATCACTCTCACCTATCTACCAAAAAAAAGAGAGGGTTGTCAGTCCAGATAAATAAAATAATTTCCCTACCCTTCCGTACCGCTTACTTCATACATTATCAATTTTGGTTGTACTTCGATCTAAAACAAGAACATTCATACAAACCCTGGTTTCGAGCGGATCTTACAGACTGAGTAAATTGAAAAGCACTGGCCAAAAGGGACGAATTCACTTCAATCTACTTTCTAATCAGGTTTTGGCGTTCATACATTTATTTCAATGTAAATCTAGTGGTGCAATAGGTACATCTCTTTTAAAAGATTGTTTGCAACTCGTTTCAAGTTAAATACGTGCATCAGAATGGTGTACACAGAGAGCATTTCTCTTGATATGCATTGTGAGAAACGGAATAAACGCGTATTGAAACGATCGAATAAACATAACTAGAAAAGCAACGCTTCATCATCTTATCCACAATTTCAGCTCTGTCTCCTATCTACGCTTCGCTTGGAGGCTTCATTTACTTATTTAATGCTTATCCTCTACCTACTTACCTCTTCTTTTGATACCCAGCACCTCAATATTTGCAAAGGAATTGAAATGATCCACTAATCGAAATAATAAAACTATAAAATTTTATAATAATGGGTTTTTCGTAACGTAAACAATGCCATGCTTTTTTTTTGTTTTTATAGGTTATCCTGTTATCACTTGAAAAAGGAAAATCAAAATATAACCTGAAAACCTGCTTTAGTTGATGTTGATAAAAATTCACTGAGGAAATTTTCGAGCGGTGTAGCTAAATTATTTGCTCATTTTTTTCTTAAATCTAAGGCAACCATCATAGAGGATGTTTCAAAAGTTTTGGAGAATTTCTACTTACCTGTGTTTCTACATTATGTGACGTTCTGTCAAATTCTGTGTGATGACTCATAGTTCCTGTAACATCATACCTTTGTACCTTAACATTGTCTTTCCACCTAAATTTCTGAGCAGTCGTGTTTAATTTGGCTCAGCTTCAATCTAATGACTCTGAGTAAACACTCCCAAGCACTATTTAAAGCACAGTCATTCACGGAATCACTAGTCATTCAAATGCCATTGACTCGACCATGTCATATTCAATGTTAGGAATTCTTGCCTTTATTCTGGTCATCGGCTCAAGGCCCTCTGCTGTCTCGTAAGTAGCTATGTAATTTCAAAGCAAATACTTTCTCTTTTATTTAATCCACTTAAATTAGTGCAATTGTTTGTGGCACAACCTACTCGGAAGAAATTCAAGCCATCTTCCAGGTTCGTCCACAATAGACTAGCAAAGTGAAGTGGTTGTGAACACAGATTCACAATGAGGAACAAAAATAATGTACAGTTTGGACATGTTATGCGACCACTTAAATAAAGGCTTGTAATAAGGTGGATTGTACGTAATGCGCAACTTGTTCTTACGCCTAAATCTTCTATTTTATTTTATTTTGCAGGTGTATATTTGTTGCTAATGGTTGTCAAGATTTACTGGAAAGTTTTGGAGAAGTTACTGCTAACTTCACCCGTTGCACTATCAGAAATGCTCGGCCAATAACAGTATGCTTAGCCTGTGTGGATACCTTCATTGAGGTTCTAACCAAATATCAACAAATATTAGCGGTTGGTACCATTCCTTGTAACATATATCAGGCTTTTAGCAATTGTACATGGAAAGAAGGATTTTGCTGTACACGTCAATAGTCAAATGTAGAAATCACAGTGGCAAGTGGCAGGCTTGGTGGTGGGGCAAGCTGTAACGATTACCGTGGGGGGCTCAGGAAGTTTCCCTGAGAAATTATTTAAAATTTACATTCTAGATCCCAGCTGCCAAATTTTCTGGGATACAGATATTTTCAAAAAAATTTCTTTGTGTCGCAGAACTGAAGCATTGTAATTGCGTGAATAAGAGGTCATTTATTAGTAGAAATCTAACTTCCCTACAGAAGTGATTCGTCTGACCCTCATGAGTTGTCCAATAGGGTTGAAACTTTGCCAGGTTATTTTCATGTGATGGCACCTATAATGCACCGAGGAGCTGGAACTTACCAATTTACCTCATAAGAATACGGATAAACTGAGCGTAAATGAGTCGATTCAATTTGAAAGTTCTACTTTCTCCATATTTACAAGTTTTAAGAAAATATACTGTACCATTCATTTTTTAAGAATTGGATTCCTCAGCATCATGCGTCACTTGCCAACACTTGATGATCTTAAAAAAATATTATTATGTTTTAGCTACATGGTGAGGATGGCACGCCATGCAAGTTACAGTTAATAAACGTAGACAAGTTGGAAGTTGTGGAAGGTAGTTACAGATTCGTCATCAACCAGTGGAACAGAGCAGATTGCAACAGTTAGTATCTTTTGGGTTTTTTTTCTACTCACTCACAAAATAAAATGATGCTCATAACTTAAGTGAATTAAATACCGTAATATTTTCTTCAATTCAACTCAGATAAAAATGCCAAAAAGAAATTTTCAGAAGTATTGAAGCCAGCTCATGCTGGAACCACTCTCTTCATATTGTTTATCAGTATTACATAGCAAATGTATTGGTGTTTTTGTTCTTTTTTCTACTGGGGAAGGTAAGAATATACAGGAAGATTATGAAGTCCCACTTGAAGGTAAAAAATTCTAAATTGACATAACTTTCTCCACTCATGTATCACCAGCACATATTCTGAAATGAAGGTGTGACTGATCTGCACAGAACATAGCGGGTAAATCTTATATTAACTTCAGTGCATTGTGTTTTTATTCAATTTTTTTTTTTTTTTTTTAAAAAAAAAAATGTTTTAAATTTCAAGTTTTAGTTACATTTTAAGAGTTGTAAATCTACATTGCTCTCACTTTTATTGAACTCTTTGCAGATTGTTTCCAAAATCAAAGTGGCAGTATTACACCTGAGGCAAATTATTACACCATAGGTATAAGAGAAAAATCGGATCAATTGGAAGCGTGCATTAGTAACAATGCAAATGGAACGGATCCTTCTAATAAGACCTCTGGCAATCCTAAGGTTTGCTTTAATTGTGCCTCTGATTATAAAGCTTTGAATGATTATTATATCGTCAACAAATCTCTAGTCAATGGATTTTGTATGGATATCACAGACATGGTAAGTGATAAGCATCTTCATCGATCAAAGGGTGGTTGAATACCATTTCATTAATATCCTGTTGAATAAAATTCTACAGAACCAAAATCGTCCCTTTTTAGAGGCAATAGTGTAAATTTCGAGGAGGAACAATTTAATCAGATAAAGTCCTTGCATGCGAAAAGTGAGTGCTGTCTCGCTGTTCAGCATTCACACTATAATTGGAAGAAGGGCTGCCTTTCCAAACTATTCCCCATCAAAGAGAAAATGAAAATTGCAGTATGACTGCATACTGCATGGTTACCTTGGAGGTGTGACAATCACTTGGTAAATGATAATAATCCTGCGTCAGTTTCATACTCCATGAAATTTTTCATTTTAATCTTAATTTTGTCTGTCTCAGATCAATACGACGCGGTATCGTTGGAGTCAAGAATTTCGTTGCTGTTCTGAAAGAGAACAACCTGAAAGAATTTTCCTATTAGTAACAATGACTTTTTGTATCATTCCTCTCATTTTCTACCTCTTCGTTCGACTGTGCACCGTCAAGCATCTGTTACCTATTTCAACACGTGAGTAATGACAATATTCATTTCAATGATCTTATCAATGATGTGTGATAGTCCTAATGGGAAATAAAAAATTTTCATGGAGATGGTGCATGGAGGGGCAGACTCCATTTTGTACTCAATGTAAAAATTTATTGTAGGGTTGAACTTAAAGCAAGGAGAAAGTACCTACATTTGAAAGACTGCAACTTATTTTGTTTGGAGGCTTCTTCGACTTTGTATGTGATGTAGCTGATATCTTGCAAATTGTATAGAAGTATCTGACTTTCTGGAGCTCACTCTCTTCAATGGGCCAGGTGCGCTGGTCACAGAATTCTGTTTTGATGCTTTATTCTTACAGATCGACTAATAATAATAAGATCCATCCAAACAGCAACTTTCTACGTTGAATATTAACCAAGATATCGCGCCTTGAAAAACTGAATATATATCATCATCCACCATGGTAGAACATACCATGTTATGCTTCACCGCGGTGGATGACGTCAAAAATCCGACTTTTCAAAGGACGATGTCTTGGTTAATATCCAACGTAGAAAGTTGCTGTTAGGACGGATCTTTTTATTTTTAGGTAATCTACAAGAATCAAGTATCAAAAGACGATTCTGTTACTAGCGCAACGGACCCATTTTTTCGTAACTTTTTTATGAAGACAAAAACAATTTTCCAAGGGCCTTGCATCTAGTAAGATAGTTATGTATTTTATGTACCAAGAATTTGAAAGAATAGTATTAAATTGAGTTTTTTCAGAACTGCAGTATTTTTTGTCTTGATTTCTGAAAGTGAACAGTTAATAATCTCTCTGTTTAGAGGACTGCATCTGATCTATGAATTTGATGGTTTAGAAGATGATCGTCGTCTTTTTCTTATGTCTGTTTCAGCGAAACGATGGGAACATTACATATCATCAAGTTCAAGCACTGCAAACTTGGTCCAGTCTTAATATACAACCTATGTCATATTAAGACTCGGGCTCCTAAATGTCTTTCATTTCTTCCAAGAGTGTGTTATCTGTGATCTCAGCGCTTGTTAATATATGATGTAGATTTGTAGTTAGATTTAAACAAGATTTTTACTTACTGTTAACTGTTCCATTTAATTTTTTCCTTTTTCTGTCCTCTGTAATCCTCCTGCTTTTTAACACTTTATTGCCAAAAGAGTTAAATTGATATTTGCGAGTTATGTAGGTGTTATGTATGAATATTCTTGTTATTATTTTAAACTTAAAAGTTTATTATAGTCACTAACAATCTGAATCTTTCATTCTAAGTTTTTATATTTATGCAGAGATTTAGTTTCTATCTGAGTATTGCAGTTTTTTCCCCCAAGTTTGGCATTTAACATTGCAAGTATTACCATCGTCATCATCATGATAGGATATCAGGTTCATCACTTAAAGTTAATCTATGACTTCTGACTTGCACTATTTGTATTCCATTCCATCTCTGGCTTCCAACAGTTATTGATTGCTGATGTCCGATTGTTCTTAATTACAAAAATTAATACTTTTTTTTAATGGCAAATGAACTGAAGAATGAATTGACAGTAATTTCCTTTTATATTTTAGTCGAAATGCCAAGCTACATCATTTTTCTAATTTTTGTAGTATTTTCATCATTTTGAAAAAGACGTTCGGTCCAATTTTTTAGAAGTAACACCATACTGACAGTTACCTTTTGAAAATTAAAAAGTAAACAGATATTTTGAAATGACACAGTGTTGTTTACTCCCATTTCCTTGGATGTATTCAATAATAAGTCAGATTTTTTTACAAGGTTGCGCTCTTGAAGCTTTTTTCATCTTACCTTTTGCAGAATAAATCAGGTTCTCCATCACTAAGGATTAACTTCAAAATTTTTTTGATATACCAATATTATACCTATAACCAATGATTAATATTTAGTAGATTAGTGGTGATTAATATGGGCTCATTCATCATAACCAACTTAAAATTCTACTTATTTCCTGTTTGATTCTCGGTTTTTATCCAAGAACTCCATGGTGGCTGACATTCTCTGAAACGGACAGAATGCTTTAATTTTTCATTCAAAACCCGAAAAACCGATTATCAACAGATTTTTGTTTTGTTTAACACGCAATATTCTTTTGAGTTTTCAAGGAAAAATTTTGAAATAATTCTATCAATTTTGGATTTATATCATTCCAAACAATGGATGTCTTGCAGCAGGTAAGAATGAAACACTTTTGAAGGAATTTACAGCCCTCTATTTAACGAAAACTGCAGATATTCATAATAACCAATTGCAAATACAAAAAATGAGAATTTAAATTAAAACTAAGACATAATTCTTCATCATAAAATACAACAGACAGATCAGATGTTTTTCGAAGGGAATAAACGATCATCCAACTCATTTCCAAACATTACATCTAAAAAATTCACACACAAGTAACAACTGAGATGACATTGAAATAGATTAATAGGAATATTTATGGTTCACCATTGAAACTTACTGGCTAAGAACTTAGAAATAAGCTTCACCAATGATGCTCTTAGTCTCACCCGAGGAATCATTTTAACTTTCTCTTCTTCCCACTTTTTTTTATAGAAAAGCGTCTGGGGTTACTTTTGTCTTTAAGCGGAGAGTTTTCATTACCACTACTATTTGGAGTTAAACTAGATATTAAGCCGTTGAAGGCTGAGGAATGTTTTTTGGTTGGGGCCGATGTGGTCGGTTCGTTGTCTTCACTTTCGCTTTTAATCTCTGCTTCCGAAGATTCACTTGCAGTTTCAGCTGTAACAAGAGTAAGAAGTAAATTAAGGATTGAAATAACTGATTCATCTACAGGATTGAGAGCTCAGCTACAGGAAGGGTCTAAAAAACTCAGGAGATAGGCTATTCAAATGGCGCTAAGTCAGCAAATGAAACATTATCTCTACGACTGTTGACACCTCCTATCTCGAGGGTGGGGGCCTACTCAAGTGGCCTGATTGTTAAAATATGAGTCAGTACGACAAGGCATCGGAAGAGATGGATATATTACATAGCACAGATACAGCTATGTCTTGCCTAATCTTGCGGATGAAGCCAGTCAACAATCAGGCTGCAGAACCTTTTTAGGCAGCTCATAATTCAGGATTCTTAGTACATTACCATACCGAACAAGCTGTTGGGTGAAAATATCTGTACTATGTTCTTTCCAGTGTCCATAATTTCAATTACTCTTTCGTCCCAAACTTTGTTTTCTCTGAGACTTTAGCTGATCTATGCTAGAAATTCATCTTGGTTCCCTAAAAAAAAGACCTTGTTGAACAGAAGAAAAGTTTTTGGGAGAGAAATTTTGACTGAGTTGGGTTAAAATATTGGGAATTAAGTTGTGGAAAGAAAACACTTTCATGCATCCTGATGAATCTGTTGTGACGAATTACCTAGGTCTTTGATACCATTGCAGTGCATCATGATGAATCCATGAGAAATGATTCCTTGCATATATTATTGCCACCACTTCGATATTTGATTGATTACAAATTTCAGTCAGTTCATTTTTGACACATTCAATTTTTTTTCCTTCTTCCTAGTTTATTTCTATTAGATTGTCATAAGTTGAATCTATGCCTCAAGATTATGAAATTCGATTTTGAAGTTGATATTAGGCCAAAAATAAAGTAAAAAGAAGTAAAGCCAAAGAATTAATGATAGTCAATTGATGAAATTCATAATTAGCTATCTGAGTATCGAAAAGGCACTGATACAGGGAAATTTACACCATGGATTCACTTCAAGAATTCTGGCTCTGAACATGGCAGACTAAAACCCTACATGGTTCCTATTAAAATTGTGTTTTCTTTTCATTTGAAACTTAGGACCACAATTGATCTGCTTTACTTTGGTTGAACGTTTTCTGAGCTAAAATGTTGGGCAGCACCAAGGTCTCATTTTCTAAGGAACCGTGGGTAACATGCATGTACATTGTACTTTCATATTTTGCTTCTATAACAAAAAATCGGCGGAAATTAGTATTACATTAAGACCAGAAATCTTGATGACTTACTTTTTTGTGTATCTACCACCCCACTCACAGCCTGGAAAAAGAGGAGAAAAATATTACATGACGACATAAAATAAACATACAACCATTTTTTAAAATAAATTAAAAAATTCTAGGTTTTTTAAGTTCGAGTTTGAATCGAATATCAAAAAAATATTCGAACTCGAATATTGCGGATTTTCAAATATTCGCCCAACCCTACTCAAAAGTAAACACACACTATTTCTGCTTTTCTGCTTGGCAGAAACCCTCCAACCTAAGTCTTAAACACTCTTTCTCAGACCAAACACGTAGCTTTATTGGCTGCGTACGGGCTGGATCGGTAGTTTCAATACACATACTTCACACTTCATTTCCTTCCATACCTATGTCAATTCTGTTTTATTCAGTAACTTCAGATGATTTTAGATTCGACCTGCATACAATAAACTTGGTTGCTGTACAAAAGCAGGAAAAAATTTGCAGGCTAAAATATAGCACTCAGTCTAGACTCCCTGGAACAGTTCTTAGCTATGTCTGTGATGCAAGCATTCAAAAAATATAATAAGAGGAATTTTGTATCCAGGGCATTTTTATTTTAAGCCCTCATGTTTTTAACGACTCACATTCCTTGTGATTGAAGGGTACATATAACAGGCAAAAAAGGTCAACGACCCTTTTGTGATAATGTTTTCAATAATGACTACAAGAATAACAGCACGTAATGGCGTAAGTCCGCAATCACATGTCTCGTTTGCAGTGTCTGAAAATCTTTGCCTCTATGTTATTTTTTTAAAGGAGGACAAATCGACATCATTCCTTAAAGTTTTTGCAGAATTTTTTTCGCACAGAGAGGAAAAGACACAGCAATTTTAAAGAAGTGCCGTTTAGTTGGTTTCCAATTACAAACTAAAGTATCGCAGGAAGTCTGCGATGCCGCAAACCGAGTTATGTGATTACCAACTTACACCGAATTTCTAATGGGGTGAAAGATCAACTTACAGCCATTGAGGTTATTGATGATTTTGAGAACAATCTTTCAGCTTCTTTAAACTTGCGATTACGTTTCTCATTTTTACTATTGGTTTTGTTGTTGAAGTATCGATCCCATCCACGAATGATATTCCCATAAAGTTGCGTGTCTTCTAAATAACTTCCTTCAAAAGCATAAATTTGCCTCTCAAGGTTTGCGAGCGTCTCCTAGAGAAAACATGAAACAAATAGTAAGAGATGAAATAACCAAAAAATTACTGGAATGAATGCATGCATTTTGAATCCCTGCATTGAATTGGTCCTGGAGCTACATTTGCTCGACGACTCCAAGAATATGGCAGGGGATCCTCCATCTAGCACCCAGCATTTACTATCAATGAAGATATGAAGGTGGAAAGATTTCTATTCTTCTTTAGAGGTTGATAGATTAATAAGGGGTTTTCTTTTATTGAACGGTGGTACTACCGATCACCAAACTGCGTTCTTTAACTCACTGGTCGGTGATGACATCACGACTGGAGGAGCCATCGCCCGTGGATTTGGTACCACCAATCAACCACTCGGAGCAGCAGAGATATCACTGGTGCTTTCAACCCACCGGTGGACACTAACCCTACTATACCCTACTTCAGCCAGATCTCAGGCCAAAAATAAACAAACAAACGATTAATCGTGGGTATTTCGCGCCTGCCGCCGCCGCTGAATCTGATGATTCTACTCTGCAGCGTCACTGTCGCCTATGTATTGAATTATGTAATATTCAGGTTTTCTTTGTGTTATTTTTCCTTGAACTTTAATTATGACAGAAAAGCAGTTTATGCTGGTACATTGAGTATATATTTACACTATTGAAGTATCATTGCGGTAGAGGTTTGAAGAGAGGGAGAAATCCATTTGTTTACATTGGTGGAAAGTGGGTCCTTAGGCTCCCGACTGATCGCAGGCAATATTGTACCAAAATGGTGACCGGTGGAATTCCACCGGTGGTTCAGCCGATCAGAAAAAGAAGACCCCTTAAGAAAGGGTTTTTTCAAGCTATCAGCAAAGCCACCCGCTAATGAACGCAGCTGCCTCAGATCAGTTATGGGTCGAGGTACTTCTTATTGGAAGGTTAGGTTTAAAACCAATGGACCGGCAGATTTGTAGCAAACGAATTGTCACTACGAATCAATCCATTCCAATCCCCGATCAGTGGTACCCTACCTGCGGTAATTAAAGGTTCCACTGGCTGAGACATTAAGTTTTGACAGTATCATTTAAAGAGAGTGGTTTGGTAATTGATGATATCACCGACCATGAATAAAAAATCTCACATAGGCTAGCTCCATCTGAAAAATGATATGATGAGTGCTAACAGAAACTTGTAACGGATAACCTCAAAAATTAGAAAAGTCTGGAGAAAAATGATTGTTGTGATCAGCATTCCAACCGAAGAGGGACTCATAGGACTGAGAAGAAACAAAAGAAGGATTTAAGTTTGACAATCAATATTACCGCAATTTCTGCTTTCCGTTTGACTAACTCCGCAAGTTCCTTGCGGACATCCACTGTTGCTACTGTTTTGGCAGATTTATCCTTTGTTTTGTCCATTATAGTGACTTAAATCGCTGGAGATATAAACGGACCAAGAGGCAATCAATTGATTTCACAAAAACTCAACATTGTCACACAAAATAAATAGAGAATGTGATAAATTAAGAAAAAAATTTTAAACACAAAATTGAAATGTAAACAATGCTCTAGACTAAAGAAACCATGACTGCGACATTTGGCGGCCATGTCCTGTACGTCACTGAATACGTCACTACGGCTACGGATTTCAATATTTTGGCGGCAACTTCAGACAAATTTGGCGGCAACTCCAGACAGATTTGGCGGCAATATTGTATTCCAGTAGGTACCTACCTATTTCCGGTAAGAATGTCCTACCCAGGCCCGGACTTATGGCGTGTGCAGGGCGTGCGGCGCACACGGGCGCCAGCCTTTGGGGGGCGCCACGAGAGAAGAAGAGAGGGAAAAAAAGGGGGGGGGAAAGGAAAAGGAAAAAAAGGGAAGAAAGGACAAGGGGAAAAAAGGAAAAGGAAACAAGGTTGGGCAGTGAAAGCGAGGAAGAACTGAAGAAGGGGGAAATGGAAGGAAAAAGGTGGCAAGAAAAGTGAAAAGAGAGTCCGCGAGAAAGGGGGGGGGGCATAAAAACCATAGACAAAATATAAAGAGAATTGCCGTCTAAAGGTAAATTTTCAGGACAAAAACTCCACCTGGTCCATAGACGGTCAGGCGCCCCTTGACCCTAAATTTGCGGCTGTACAGAAATTCAAGAGTAGGCATGTAGTAAGGGGGCGCCATAAATCCATCGAACAGGAGCCGACATAGCATTTTAGGCCACGTCCGCCATCTTGGATTTGAGAATTTTTAAACATAGTATAAATTCGAGTTTCCGGTCGAAAAATATACCCTCAGACACCGAGTTTCAAAAAAATCCATCGAACAGGAGCCGACATAGCATTTTAGGCCTCGTCCGCCATCTTGGATTTGAGAATTTTCAAAAATCGACTAAAAATTCGAGTTTCCCGTCGAAAAGTACCCCTGATCCCGCGGTTCACAAAGCTCTAACGAACAGAAACGGACGCCAGAACCGGGGCTCATTCCACATCCAACATTTTGGAGTTGAGAGTTTTAAAAAATTGACTAAAAATTCGAGTTTTCCGTTGAAAAATACCGTGTGATACCGCGTTTCACAAGACTCGAACAAACAGAAACCGAGATAGCATTTTAGCCCACGTCCGCCATCTTGAATTTGAGAATTTTAAAAAATTGACTAAAAATTCGAGTTTCCCGTCGAAAAATACCACCTGACACCGAATTTCAGAAAAATCCATCGAACAGGGGCCGAGATAGCATTTTAAGCCATTTCGGATTTTCGAATTTTGAATTTTTTGAATTTTGACAGATTTTGATTTAAAACGCGTGATCCCCAAAATCGAAGTTCAGATTCGAATTCCTCGTAAAAAATCGATGCGATTTCATGTATCATACCCTGACACCGAATTTCAGGAAAATCTATCGAACAGGAGCCGAGATGGCATTTTAAGCCACGTCAGTCATTTCAGATTTTCGAATTTAGAAAATTTGACTTAAAACGCGTGATACCCAAAATCGAAGCTCAGATTCGGATTCCTCGTTAAAAATCGATGCAATTTCATGTATCATACCCGAGCATAGCGTGGAGGAAAGAGACGCAATGTAGGCATACTGATTCGAGCATATGAATGCAACGTGGCAACATGGGTAGTGCTCAGTGGGTCAGCGGAGGAGGAAGAATAAGAATTTATCGTGAGAAATTCCTCGCGACGAAACCGAACGCTTAGCCGGCGCTAAGTGGCGCCTCCCCGTTCGGTTTCACTCGGGCGACAGGCGGCGGCGTAGTACAAAGGGGAAGTACGACAGAATCTATACGCGTCGTTAAACCTTTTTCCTTCACGCTATTCTAACATACGATACATGAAATCTCTTCAATTTTTCACGAGGAATCCGAATCTGAGCTTAGATTTTCGATATTACGCGTTTTAATATACTTAAAATCGTAGGAGAAATTACAGTCCTTGAAAATTGATTACACATTAGCGTTTTTTTACGTCATTAAACCTCTTTCCTTCACGTTATTCTAAAATTTGATGCATGAAATCGCTTCAGTTTTTCACGAGAAATCCGAATCTGAGCTTAGATTTTGGATATTTCGCGTTTTAATCATTTAAAATCGTTGAAGAAATTACAGAATTGTCCTTGAAAATTGATGACACATTAGTGATTTTTTACCCCGTTTTTCTTCTACGTTCACGTAATGAAATTAGATCAACAGTTCACTCATCGACTATAGTCTAGCCTAACCCCCCAGAATCGGTCTAAAGGGCGAACGATTTTATCAGATAAGATGTGCGGTCCTAGTTTCCGGGCAATTGCGGTTTGATGGAAGCTGCGATGAGGAGAAACGGATATCCATGCGAAACTCGGGCGGATATTAAGTGAGAAAAGGTACCTAGGGGAAAGGCTTCCTTCCCGAAAAGTTAGTGCTCGGGCCAACTTACAAGGTCACTGGAACATTGGTTGTGGGAAACTATTTTTTTAATCGCAGCAACAACCAATTGGATCGCATTTTGCAAAAAGGAACTAAGAGCATTTCAATGTTGCTGGGATTGTGCAACTTAGGTACATTCTTTTCAAAAAGTAAACTTTGTGACGGTAATTTTCGTCTTTGAATTCATAGTTTATTGGGAGTAGGGGTGAAACTAGTTTAGATGATCGTTTATGTTTGCAAGGTTAGCGAAATTGGAATGCTCTTGACTCGTACCACCCCCAAAAAGTATGCATCCTTGGCATGAGACGAAGTTTCTTGTTGGTTTGGATTCATTTGAGGTTTTAATAGAGAAATATCCAGGGCCGGATTAAGGGGGTGGCCACATGGGCCGCGGCCCATGGCGGCAAATTTAGGGAGCGACAAAGGACTACGTGCAAAACGGGCCATTTGGGGCTCGGGGCGGATACCTTTGAGACTTGCCCTATTTATTAACCTAACAATGCCCCATCTTTTCCCAAAGTTTCAAGCCCCCCAAAAATTTTGGGGAGACGCGGCGGGGGGGTCAAAGTTAAAAACCAGCAAAATTTTCGCGAATTTATTACTCGAAAACCAAGAAGTTTTGGAAAATGCGGTTTAAACGAGCGTATGCAGCGTGACGAGAGCTTTCAGAAAATGTATAACATCATAGGGTTTTGTCAACTTCAGCTCGAATTATCGCCTCCGAAGCGCCGGAACGCTCAAAAAAGACCCCTTATTTTTTCACGTTTGGGCCGATTTAAAAAAAAGCCATTTTTTTATTTTCGTGAAAAACTGATATATTGTTCCTGACTCTCTGTAGCCCCTCTAGCTCTTTACCGCATGCTGGGGAAATGTTTTAGTCGCGAGTTATGAGAGCGGAAAGGAGCGAAGGTCGGGAAAATCGGCTATTTTAAACTGCGCGCGGTGACGGATTAGGAGACATGTGGCAACAATGCGAGGTCGGCAGAGGAGTGTGATTCGCCCAACTGAGTGGGAGGGGACGTTTTCCCTCCGATCAACGCCGCGCGCGCAGTTTAAAATAGCCGATTTTCCCGACCTTCGCTCCTTTCCGCTCTCATAACTCGCTACCAAAACATTTCCCCAGCATGCGGTAAAGAGCTAGAGGGGCTACAGAGAGTCAGGAACAATATATCAGTTTTTCACGAAAATAAAAAAATGGCTTTTTTTTTAAATCGGCCCAAACGTGAAAAAATAAGGGGTCTTTTTTGAGCGTTCCGGCGCTTCGGAGGTGATAATTCGAGCTGAAGTTGACAAAACCCTATGATGTTATATATTTTCTGAAAGCTCTCGTCGCGCTGAATACGCTCGTTTAAACCGCATTTTCCAAAACTTCTTGGTTTTCGAGTAATAAATTCGCGAAAATTTTGCTGGTTTTTAACTTTGACCCCCCGCCGCGTCTCCCCAAAATTTTTGGGGGGCTTGAAACTTTGGGAAAAGATGGGGCATTGTTAGGTTAATGAATAGGGCAAGTCTCAAAGGTATCCGCCCCGAGCCCCAAATGGCCCGTTTTGCACGTAGTCCTTTTGCAATGTTTTTAAATGTAGGTAAAAAAAATCGGATTCAGAAAAAAAAAAAAAAAAAAAAAATTATCAATGAGAAAGGGGGACAAAATCTCTCTTTCCTGAGAGTATATACTATATAGTAATTTCTAATTTTGTCGTTTTTCGGTGATACCTACAGGAGACAGCATCGTTAATTAGTCGAGTTAAGAGAGGAAGTAAACACGCGATTTGGCCTGGAGCACAACGCAGAGAGGATTGCTGACGAGGACTTGAGATGAAAAGGAGAAGCCCTCGGCGCGGCGGTCGGCATGTAACACATAATAGCGCCTACAGGACTGCATGAATACAATACTTCACCCATTGCGCCAAACACCGTGCGGTCAGGAGCGGTTGGCGTGAGACGCATAGCGCCTACAAGACTGCAGGAATACTTCACGCATTGCGCCAAACACAGTGCGATCAGTAAGGCGCAGCGGCGGAAGTTAAAATTATAACACACATCTATGTTTGTTCTTTCATAATATTTTTTGGTTCATTTCTTATAAATGGAGGACCTTGTCCACACAGAGATATGTATACGGAACTTAACTTTCGCGCAAAGTTTCGTGAAATTTTGCTAGTAATATTGACAGGGCTTTCGCAAAAAATGTATCCAACACGAATAGGTAAACGCGTCTTATGCACCCCTCCCCCTCCGGCACGTTCACTTGAGATGGTTTTTATTGATGTTTCAAAACGAACGAGAATGGGGCAGCAAAATACAGGCGGCCCATGGGCGGCAAGTAGTTAAATCCGGCCTGGAAATATCCTTTCGTTTTAACGATGACAGCCAGTTTCGTTTCAACACATTCGAGTTTTACAGTGGTTTGTCTGTCTTAAACCAGGCATTGCAAGTTCACTATGCGCTCACTATGAGTTTTGAGTCATAATGCATACAATTTACATCTTTTCAGCTGTTACAATTGATTGGTGAGAGACTATATTGTGAGTCTTGTTTCGGATACGAAAGTGCATATAGACTATACCTCCCCCCCTTTCATTAGTGGGGGTTTTCCTTCACACCTCCTGGATCACAGTGGTCTATCAAGCCCCCCAAATAGTAAGCCCAAGCGACTCCATTGTTATTTATTGCCTAATTTTCTTTGTACCTACTTTATTTAATTTCTTACGTTTTTTTTTTTTTTAAACTTTTATATAGGTACTAAGCAACATCATGCCTTGACATTTTGTTAGTAGGTATAACAACGGTGAAATAGCCAAACTATGCATCTCGTTTGCAGTGTTTAAAAATCACTGCTCCCATTATATTTTTTTAAAGGGGAACAAATCAACATCATTTCTTGAAGTTTTCAAAGAATGTCCTCCGCAGAGGAAAAAAAAATCACCTAAGTTTTTGAGAGTTGATGTTGAATAGTTTTCCATAAAAATAATACAGTATGACAAGAAGTCTGCAACGTTACAAACCAAGATATGTAATTTTGGAGTTTCACTTTCTATATGAATTAAATTGCATGTTATTACCAGACGTTTATCTTTAAAGCAACTTTTATAAAGGTTAATCCTGAGAAAGAGAAACTTTGCAAACATATATAAGACCAACAAACATATGTACATCCTGGCTTGGGCAAAAGAAACGCTCAATACGCAATAGCTTGATGTGTCACAATGGGGGGGGGGTCCCCATTTGAAAATATTAATATTTGAGGGTGCTGCCTACTGCCGGCTGCCCTATCTGGTCCCCTCTAGAGGATCGGGGGGTTGTGACCCTTCAACAAGTTTTTTCCTCAATGATTAGAACAACAGTCCAAACCAGAACATTTGAATTCAATAATTGAAAAAGGTATGACCTATTTAATGTTTCTTTTGCCCATCCTAGTGTAGACATACTTAGTTAAGTACCAATTCCATATTTAAAAGATAGGGACTTTCTTTTCTTTCTCTTGTTGAATTTGGTGAAAAATGCTTGAACAGACTCACTAAAGTCATTTGAGTTTTAAGAGGAAGGGGTTTCAAACTTGCCATTTTCACCCCCCCCCCCCCCCCCCCCCCCAAAGAGGAGAGACTAAAAAATTCATTTCAAATTTAATTGGCTTTGTAACAAGCATGAAGCTGTGAAGATGGAGGTAAAACCACCTTAATAAAGATGATAGATGGTGTACTTATGAAATAAAAAGTTTCTCAACGCATAAAATAGGCATTCAAATTTTATTACAGAGGCTTATGTGAGCACTTTCACTAATCATCTGAAAAATACAAAAATAAAATCGAGGACGAGGACACAATGTATATACTTTTAAGTTAAAGTATAGAGAAAATTTTCATCTAAAAATACCTTGTTGAAATATTTAAAAATAATGAAAGTAACTTTATGAAAAAGAAAGTTTTTGGAAATACGAAAGTAACAAGAAGAAGACAAATTTTTCTGGAAGAAGGGCAACATGAGAGAGAAAATATTTTCGTTACCTACTTCAATAAAATTCACCACCTCCACAACTTCAATGTGGCAAAAATTGAACTCATTTGATGAGTTGACAACAGTACGGAGTGAGTACATTGAGGAGTCAAGTCTTTGTTTAAGTATTCATTGATTTCCTTAATTGGATAATCATAAGGCCCTGTCCACACGAGCGCGGTTCGCAGAACATTGTTCAGTGAACTTGTTCCTGGAACAAGTTACAGCTGAGCTAAAACTTATTCCTCCAAACCCCAGAACTTCCCCTCCACCCCGAGCTTCTATTTTTCCTTTGATGTGCATTAATTCGCTTTTGTTGCCTACGTCCTTTTTTTTGACATTTGTTTTTGTTACCCTCGCGGCCCAAGTAATCTATCATTTTGCAATAACTGTATGGTTTTATTGAAGTTGTAATTTTATAAAAAGGACGGCTTACTCCCATAGCCTGCTAAATTCCCACCATCAAAAACACTAGGTTCCGATCCCCGTTCGGGCGAACTCGTGTGAACAGAATCTGTCGTTACAAGGAACATGTTTCGGGAAACTGAGCATCTCTTTGAATTAGTTCCTCGAACCTCGCTCGATTGGACAAGGCCTAAAGCTACTTTAAGAGACTACTTCACTATTATCAATAAGTTACAAGATTAAATATTTCCTTGTTAATATGTATCAAAGTATAAAAAAGAATTGAAATAGTTAGAATTTTTAAAAATTAAATTGAAAATACATAATTATTACTTTTTGCAAATTTTGGATGATATTATTCCTCTCTTTGATGTTTAACAGTAAAAATCTATTTCAATTTTTGCAAAATTATACTTTTCATTGCGATTAGGAAAAAAAAAAAAAAACTGTATAGGGATCAATTAAAAAATATTAAGGTCACTATGTTGGAACCCAGGAAAATGTTCAAACTCTAAAAAAATTGAGGTGCTGGGTGCAAAAGGGCACCTCTTGGTTGCCGTGTTTCAGAATCTTCACTAATATTTCATTCATTGTGAAAAAAGTAAACGGACGCATTGCATTCAATATTTTCCATGATTCTACATTGCTTTAGGGAAAAAAATTACAGAAGAATCGCCCATTAGATTCTTCCCTGAGGCACAAATTAGTGACAGAGTTTCTAAATTAAAGTGACAGAAAAAAACCCTTCAGGCACCCAGCACTTCAACTCACCATTGATAAAATGAAAATGGAAACAAGTAATATGAAGTTAGGGAAAATGACTAGGCTTTTGACTGATCATAAAAAAGAGGAACTGTTATTCAAGTGCTATCATAATAAAAAATTAAATAGAATAAAAAATCAATCAGAACATTGAATTAATTAATAATACGACAGACACTTTTTTGGCTCTGGCCAATCAACTGAACTCAGTGGCTGGAGCCCAAAACGCGTCTGCCATATAATTATGTAATTTGTTATTAAAATTGAGTTTTTATCATTTTATTCTAAATTCTCTTGTGTAGTTTCCGATTTGATCCAGAGGTATCATAATGCTATTATATTCTCTGATAATACCTATCAAGCAGAAAATAATATGTGATGAAAGTACATCGATTGTCACTATGTATTAAAAATAGAGATGGAATGAGAAGAAAAAAGAATGATTTATAGCTAACAATAACTGCTAAAACCAACAAATGATTGATTTTTCAATTGATTTATAAAATATTAAAACAGATTTTGAGTTAGTTGTTGATTAAAATGTTTGATTATTGGATGTTACAAGAGGGCAAAAGAAAAAATTAATGAAAATATGTATTAAAAAGAGAAACAAAGTAACTACGGATGTTAAATTTTTATCCAATTTACGTGATTAGTGAGATGTAATCACGAGGATGCTTTGGGACCATAAGACCACGGTAATGCGGAGCCAAATTTGTCCTGATGCGCTGCGTTTCGTGCCTCATACAGAACCTGTGATAAAAATGTAATGGATAAATTTTTATTTTCAGTACATGAGAGAAAACATGGGAAATTTTTACCTTCACTAACGAACTGTTCAAGTATTGTGCAGGCTACTTAAAGGGAGGAGAAGGTCTGAGCTTGCCTCATGGGGTCTTATGTGAAAGGATGGGAGGGGGTTGATTGGCCAGTCTTATGTAATTTGGAAGGAGGGAAGGTTGTCTTAAAGGTATCTCGGGGGGGTCAAAAAATTGTCCAAAATCCCCCACATAATACTTGAACAGCTCCTATTACAACAAGTTATTTGAGTCAATTTTTTGTAAGGTTTACGATAGTGCTCCGTGAACCAAGTCCACAGTAATTTGTAATTTTTTTTTCATTTTTAAATTATTGATTTTCAATTTGTTTTATGGAGGATTCTTTAGTTTTATCTATCATAGAGTATTCTAAATCAAAGATAGTTTGACATGTTTCAAATTTCAAAAATAGGGCACACTCGACCCTGCCTTGCAGGGTCATGATCCCTCTACAGATTTCTGGCCCAAAAAGGGTGACAGTTTAAGCCCGAACACTATTATTCAAGGATAAAAAGAGTTCAGACGAATTGAGGATTTCTTTTGCTCATCCTGATTTGCTGAGATCCTCATAACTAGCATAAATGGTGTAATTTCATCTCTTATCAAAAAAATTAGCGATAAGTAGCAATTGTTACCTCGTTATCAAGATATGCTTCACATCCATAACACCAAACGGAGAGATCAGAAAAACTGAGAACCACAGGATGACCCTCTTTAGTGCTATGTTCAGCCATGTGTCCTTTTATGTATCGACCGCATTGAACCTGATCATAAAATATTGAGCAAAGAATATAATAAAGCAGTCAATGATATTTTCTGGTACACAGCATGAGAGGCAGCGGACTCTTGACTGCCTGTAGATTTGAGAATTCAATTTACTGCTTCACACTTGTACTTATGAAAAAATCTGGAAAATAGTCGAACAGATTAAACCGGAGTCAACCTAACTGCACTTTACTTCGCTTAGTTTCTTCTCAAGTTTTATTCTATTAAGCAGAGAGCCAAACGAAATAATGCACTGAAATCGTGTGAACGATTCCTCTGGCTTATAAAGAGTATTCTCACGAAATTTCTAGTGAGAATGACAATGCTGCTAAAAAAACATAAAAGGAAATTAGAAAACGTCTGACGCAGTAAGGTTCATTCAAAGTTAAAGAACACGGCACACAATAATGAGAAATTCAGCGCCGGCTAAATTCCGAGATTTATTTAATATGATGTTCCTTACAACCTCTTGAGCACAATGAACTTTGAAAATAGAACTAATTTTTCAATGTTAAAAATTCTTCCGGAACACTGATTTTTGTTTAAAAACTTTCCGACGGTTACTTACAGTGTAACACGTAAGGCAGGACCAATTTTCTGCTGTTGAACTACAAGTTGCACAAGGAACTTTGGTGTTAACTCCTGTTTCAGGTACTTTCCTGACAAGGGACAAGTGGGGACAATTTTTCTTGGGTACCACAGCAAACATTTCTCCACCGACCAAAAGCTGAAAAAATTTTAATTATTAAATTAATTGTGCGCTGAATAAAGCGAAAAAAGTTAAGGAATCAGGAAAAACTATTATATTTCCATTTCACTAAAGCTAACTGAGGCATTCAAATCATTGCTTGCAATACTTGGTTAAAAAACTGCAATTGTTATTTTGAATTGGTGAAGAATATGAGGATGATCACAACTTTGTAACTGCTAAAAACGCTCTGGACGTAAATAGATAGCACTTGTACTTTTCATCTCTTAATTTCTTTCTCTTTTGAAGGAAGTAGAAGCTTCAGGAGCAGGTGAAAATTAACCTAATTTCTGACCAAGCAAAATAAGGAGAGTCAAAGATTGTACCTTATAAAATATAGCGCGAAAATGAATTCATATACCTAATCACATTCCAACAATACGACAAGAAGAAAAAAAGTCAAATATTCTAAGCACGGGATGATGGTGCAGTTCATTATAGTCTAAAGATCATGAATGATGTTTTTTTTTGTATTCAACAAACAGTTTAAAGCTAAAAGGTTAAGGCAGCTTTGAAAAAGTTATAACAGCTGATCCAAAAAAGATGTTTATTAGGAAAAATTAAGCACTTGTTTTTTTTATCAAAGACATTTCTAAGCACCACCACCAGTGCTTTCAGGTGCATACATTATCTTCAAGAAATTTAGGACAGGAACTTGTCTGAGGAAACAACGCTAACCAGCAATATGTCATTTGCGCTACAAATATCTTCAGCTTATTTTTCATCAGTGACTTGTAAAGTTTGAAAATTCTTGCAAACAAATGATCCATCCTGATCAGATAATTTGAGGAGAAACGGAAGTCCTGCAACCTGATCTCCTGAATGAAGGGTCCATTGTTTCCCCCGAAATGCTAACCTCAAAGTTCAGTCCTATATTTTGCATAAATTTGAGGGCTTGAAGGACAAGGCGCATAAGTGCAGTTCTCGCTATTTCAAAAAGTATGTGTTTAAAGTTTCGAAATTACATGGTGTCTATGGCAGAAAGGAATTTTAAACTCACTTCATGATCCTGTAAAGCTGGATTTTAGTTGTGCGTTTTTCACAGAATATATTTTCAAACTAGTTTTAGTTGCATTCATGAATACCTCAGTTTTTTCAAAAACTACACTCAGACACCATGTCCTCCAAGGCCCTCATTTGTCATGACAGAAGTGACAATCTTTTATATTCATTCTGCTCTTATCCTTTTGGATTGATGCCACTGTCACAAGTTCTTTGATTGGATAGATTTGACCAGAGACAGTCTAACTGCGTTTTACGATGACAAATTTCCGTTGATGTTCTATATTCTTGACAGAAATCTAAATAACCTAACACCTAGAGTTTTTCTGTGAATTTCTCCTCAATTATCAATAATAAACTTGCAAAAGTTAAAGTTAGAATGCTACTTAGTTTTCTATTAAAAAAATAAAGCATAAGAGGAAATTGGGCGGCGTCTGTTATAGTTAGTTAGGCTGATTTTCGTCGAAATTAAAGTTTAAAAATGCCTTATTCTACCTGATTTCATTCACATTCTTCAAAATTTATTGACAAATAAAATAAGCAGAAACAAACAAGTGATTACCTCCATATTTTCCGCCAAGTAATCCGAGAGAGTTTGAATATTTTCAGGCTTTTGAGATGATGATGCTGAGGATGATGAGCACCCTGCTCCGTCGTCCATAGTGAATTTCTGATTGCTGTTTTTCGGAGAATCATTATTCATATTCATTATCGATAAGCCAGGTGATACTACCTGAAAACTACTATCACAGGAGAGGTAATTTGAACTAGATTCAAAGGAGTTATTGCCTAATTGATCACTTTTTATGAAATTTGGTGTTGAAAGGCCTTGAGAGGCCACAGAGCTGGACGATGAGTTGAAATTTGAGCAATCACTTTTTACGGAATTTGGAGTAAGGCTACTAACTGATGAAAAATTGAGAGTTGATGGATCACATTGTAAATAGTTTGGCGTTGATACAATACTCGAGTCTGAACAATTGGACGCAAAACAAGGGTTAAGAGAATCACTTTTCAAAGAATCGGGAGTTGAGACATTTGAAGAAATACAAACAGATGATGGCGTGACATGTCGGTTGTTGTTCAAAGAGATTCCAGTCACTTTACAATCGTCACCATTGCTTGAATTTTTATCACAGTTCCAGCTCAAATTTCCAAAATCTTTTTCGTCATAGGACTTGGTTACTTCATTGGCGTCATCACCCAATTTTAGGGATAAATCGCCCATCATTGAGATGAGTTCGTCTGGTTTTCCTTCTAAAACTTTGTCACTTGGAATAGCTACTAAAAATTGGAGGGCAGACCAAAATTCTGACTGAACACTGATAACTTGCTTAATCGATTGAATAGCGCTTGGATTAATTGGTGTGAGGGGATCGAGTATGGGAATGGGGTCGTGTAGTAGGGCTTTGGTGCACATGGTCATAGCGTAAGAAATTGTGCGCACATTGTACCCTCCTTCCAACGTCAAAATAACTCGACCATTAGCTAAGCTTGATAACCAGTGTGTAAAGTGGCCATATGCTTCAGGAGTAACTTTGTATCCTGTAATATAAGAAAAAGAAAAAAAATTCAGAGTCATAAAATATTTCTGATGCATTGCAATGTTATTCAAAATGTAGGAGCTTCGTATAGTATTTTTTATATGCATGCAGATTCATTTTGCAGTTAGGAACAAAAAGCCAAAAGTTGCTAGAACTAAACAACTGCTTCAGTTTTACAAAATAATTGGAGTGTTCATACAGTTGTTGCTTAAGATTGACTTAATGCTGAATTTGAAATTGGTTCATCAGTTATTCACTTTAATCTTTTCCACTTTAAAGCTTACAAATACAAAACAATGCATAATTCAGACAACAAAACCCTGTTGACTGCTGGGCGATTCTCTTATGCCTACATATCAGAGATTTTTGCTTGCTCTTCTTCTCTTGGAATGAATTCATCTTCCAACTCCATGGATCTTATATGCTGTATTAATGTTGTTGCCCTCTCTGCTTTATCTATTCAATAAATGTTTGATAATTGATACTAATGATTATGCGAATAATATAAAGGTGAGTTCACTTCAGCAAATCTCATTATTCTGAGTAATGAATTAGAATAGGGAAATATTTTTTACCACCAAGAGGATCTCCGATGGCAGCATCAAAGCCAGCTGACACAATGATAAGCTCAGGATTGAACTGATATGCAATTGGAAGAACAATTTGATGAAATGCTGCAATATACTCAGCATTACCAATGCCACGCTGTAAAGAGAAAAAAGAAAATAAAAAAATTCAAATAAGACTATAACCAGTATTTACGATATACTTTCATTTCTAATACTAATAACAAACCCTGAGAGCTAACCTTGAGAGCAACATAGTTCATGTCGTTCCAATTTAAGGGCTCCTCATAAAATATGTAGCGCTGTCGGACTTTATGACTCCCCTTTTTTCCTCGTACCGCACTCGTAACACAGATCTGCATCGCTCCTAATAAAATTACGTAACACTTTGTTCGCAGTGGCGTGGCGTCCATAGGTTCGCAGTGTTCGCCGAACACCCTAAAATATTTTGAAACAATTAATAAATTATGGCTAAGAATGTGGGAAGCCATACAGAATACAGAATAGTAGATCGCAAATAAGTATCGGGCGCTTGGCTTCCGACAGCGGCATGTGGCGCGGCCGAGAGAGAAAATCCTGTGACGCGTGGTCCGCACCGGCTACCGAACCTGGATGATCTGCGTACGGTGAGGAGAAAAACGATCGGTAAAAAGAACAAAATTTCAATGACAATTTACCGGCACAATTTTCACCAGAAAGGGTTAAAATTGTGTTCTTGCGGCTTCATTTTTTAAAAAATTTCCGGGGGAGGCCCCCCGAACCCCCCCTTAAGGAAGAGGAGTGAACCTCTCTGACCCCCTCCCCCCCCCCCCTAAAATTAACACTCTTACCGAACGCCTACCGGATATAGTCACGCCACGCCACTGTTTGTTCGACTCCTTAATTTAGAGTTTTACGATGAATTATGGATGAAAAATTGCCATCGCATATCTATTTTTCATCCTAGATTTTCGGTGAATTGGCATTACACACCCACTCTAGTGTTTCGTAACGCAAACCTGAATGCCTCCTTTTCCTGTTTAGCGTATCTGTAACACAGCCTTGGACCCCTTTTTCCCCCTTGAATGTTGCGTATCCAGTGAGCAGCCTCTTACCTTGATGAGTAAGATTATTTGTTACATTGCCTACAAGCAACAAAATCGACCTAAAATTGTTTTAGGCTGGGGCATTTTGTATCTCACAAGAAAGTGTTTTCTGGAGGACATATTTTGATACTTAATAATATAAGCTATAACAAAGCAACACTAACTTTCAGAAACACTTAACACTGATTGACATTTTGATGAACACTTTATGAATTCGAAGGATACTGCTCAGTCAACCCACTGTCTGATTGACCACTTTGTCACCTTGACTTTTGCAAAAATCAAGCGCTTATGAGTTGCTTAGACTTAGCTCAACATGTTGGTTCCTTGCATAGGCTAACTGAATTTATTACTAAAATATTTATGGTTTTTCTGTGTGGTAAAGGAAAGCAAAGAAAGGGATGGTTATTAGCATACCTTATTCCATGGGATATTAACATTAAAGCCCCTGCCTCTCCCTTCACCAACAACTGTGTGTGCAGCATCTGTAGAGTGAGGGAAGAAGGCACCATTATCATACCGGTGTAAAGAAATGTAAAGCACTTGCGGATCAGCCTCGAATATCTCCTGACTTCCATTACCATGGTGGACATCCCAATCAAGCAAAAGAACTCTGAAAAAGTTAAAGAATTGATCATTATTCTTTTTCTTCATAACAGTGTTTGTAATTTTTGTCAACGTTTGTTGAAATTCAGTGTGAAGCTGAAAATTTCATTACAGAGGGAAAAAGCTCATTTAAGCACGATTTTTTCTCACAGAGAAATGCTGTTTGGTGCAACTTCAGTAACAACCCATCAAAAAGACAACTGAAAATATGTTTTGGGTCTAATTGGACCCATCATCAGTACAGAGCAGCCTTCTGATTTTTTGCTTCCAGTCACGGTGAAGTTGTAAAAACCAGACTGAGATTTGGACTGGACAGGGATTAAGGTGAGTGAAACATAGCTCTCTTTGACCTCTTGCGCCAAAACGCAGCTTCTTGTTCTTGCCATCTGGGCCGTGGCGTTATTTGAATTTCAACATATTAGCTGTTTTAGCCAAGAATAAAAGTGATCATACACACATAAAGCCGCTTTTATAGCGCCGCCTCGCACTCTGCGACGCCCAATCGCCATTGCCCCCTATCCTCCCAGAGATCATCAGGCAATTGGCACCTTCTGATTTCCTCCTCCACCCCTTGTCGCCAACCTTTCACAGGACGTCCACGCCGTCGCCTTCCGGGACAAAAGTGATCATACAGTTTATAAAAATGAAGAAACGGCCACCTCACTAAGAGTAAATGATTTCTCATTCTTAACCAATTTGTTTGCACTGAATTTGTTCATTTCATCAACAGCAGACAGTCATTTTCGTTTTCAGCCAAGACTGCAAAGTTGTTGAAACTCTAATCTTGTGCCACAGCTCTGGTGGCGGGAACAAAAATCTGCATTTTGGCCAAAGAGGTCAGCCAGAACATAACTCCGTTTCACTTAGCCTCGACCGAGATATAAGAAAAACTACATTTATCATTAATTCTGCTCTTGGCCATTGATACATTCAAATGGTAAAAATAGGTTACCTTTTCAATCCATGCATTTCAATTGCATATTTTGCAGCAACAGAGGCTGAATTGAAGAGACAGAAGCCACACGGTTCCTCAACCTCAGCATGGTGACCTGGTGGTCTCACAACTGCAACACCAGCCCGACTATCACCATTTAAAACACTATCGACAACCTAGAGCAAAAAAAAGAGAAAGCAAGGGGTAAAATATTGGCCAATCATTATCATTAAAAAAATTATTAAAGATGAATATCCTATTATTGATGCTGACCATGTATATATATTTGTCATGATCGTTTAACACATTCACTGCCAAAGCGTTTGTGCCACATTGTTCTGTCTGTTAATTTAGGAGTGGGTATGGAATCATTTTATGGAAGATGCTCTTCATTCACGGAGATAATCGCCAAACTTTGCACTAAAAATCTGTAAATACTTGAAAGAATCAAATTTTGGATTTTTTTCTTGCACCTTTCTTGTGAGATTCCAAGAGTGTCTTCAGCTTCCCAGTTAGGTGAGAACTTAATGAAACAAAATTGGCAGTGAAACTGCAAAAACGCGTATCTTATCTCGGGCATTTCAAAATTTCCGCTACTACTTTATTTTTTCAAAATATGACAAATCAATACTGTTGATTGATTATTTGGATGTATTTATGCTAGAAGGGACTATGTGCATAGAATTTGCATGTAACGTAGTTCCTTTCGGCATAAATACATCCATTTAAGACGAATCAAGAGAATTTTCAAGAAATAATGTTGTGTATTTTTCTGTTTAGAAAATAAGTTATAATAACAGGAAGTCTGCGGCGCCGCAATCGGAGATAAGAGTTCTTGAAGCTCCACTGTCGATATGAAAGGACATGCTATTGTCTTGTCACTTACTTGCAAAAGACTGCCCGCTGCAACAGTTGCTGCCTCATAACTAAATTTGTTAAAGTAGATTGAGTCAAAACCATCCGCTTTTGATTTTAGCTCAGAATCAGTTAGCTCACTCAGCTGCTCCATTGCATCGATATGTTCCTCTTTATGTACTAATAATAGCTCTTCTTTGGTCGCTACGCGGCTCTGCAAAAAAAGTAGGTATTGAGCAAATGTTTACCTGCTTCTCTGTGATGTGATAACATACTTGCTAGGGTATTAAAAACAACTTTCATTCTGAGGTCATGAATGTTACTTGAGTCTTTTGAAAATGATGGACAGCAGACTACATTATTACACATGATCAAGGCATTATTCATACATTATTAAATAGGCTTCGGCAAAATAACAAGTTTTCCTCACCACATTTCTCTCCCTCTTTCAGAGGAGTATTTTGTGCAGGCCTGTTTTTTAGAAATACAACAGAAAGAGAAAGTTTTTAGTGTGAATTGTGGATTCTTACACTATGAAGTCAGTTTAATTGATTAGTATTATTTTAGTGTATTTTCCAAATAAAATATGTACACCATTTCGTTCTCTCATGGTGTCGAACACTTGACCTGAGACCTTGTTTTTTTTTTTTTTTTTTTTTTTTTTTTTTTTTTTTTTATATTATTGCATCATTCAAAAGTAGGTAGTAGGTAAATTGTGTTCTCAATTATTTCCCAAATATTTTTCATGCCAACAACCAGAAAAAAAGTTTATTCTAAGTGAAAAAAATAGGGAAATTATGTCTCGTATGTAAGATGATGGTTGGTGGAACTCGTAGTGGGAGGATATGCAACAAAGTGTTAATGACCAATATGAGATTTAAAATGAAGGTGGTGGAGTTTTCAACTCTGTAATGCTATCTTCCTTGAGTAGCGTCCTTGTTTGTCCTTTCGAACTCATGCCAGCTGTTGTGTTCACACATGTTTTGGATGCATCCGTGGAAGTAAACGTTTATTTCCCACAGGATGAATTTATTGAGAGATTATTACAGGCTTATCATTTTATTCATACTAAAACTACAGGAAACAACAGTCGGCAGGCCATTGACTTACCCTAAGCGATGGGCAAATTAAGTTATGATTCGAGAAACTTTGAGCAGCTGACATTTTGAAACAATGACGAATACATAAAGAGTTTTGCTTGAAGCAAATTCCCCCCCCCTAATATATGTTGTTAATGTGTGTTCTTACTACAATTTTTTGACTTGATGGAGATGACTTTTGGAAATTTTAGATGGGGTTCACCCCTTGGTGCAGGAGTCCTTTCCTGAAATGTTTGATCCATTCAAAAATGCATTGCAAATTACTTATTTGAAAAAATAACAAGTTGAATTGATGTCATAATTAATAAAATGATTTCAAACTAAGTGTCTCACTTACCTTAAGAATATGCAGCCTCTCTAAGAGTCCATATTCACTGTGTTTTTCAAAGATACTCGATAGCCTTGCTGGTTTTTCTGGATGATTTCTGAAGAGAGACAAAAGAAAAAACCCATTAAAATATGCGAAGACAAGAGGAGAAATAAAAAGAAAAAATCTAAAAATGGAAAAAGTAGCCCGGTGTATACTATAAAATCGTTAGATTTTAAAACAAATGTTAAAATAAATTTTTACTACTCCTAGGCTTATTTTGTGAAATTCGCCTTGTAGTATGATATACACCACTTGATATACACAAAAAAAAAGAAAATCCAAGAATTGCATTTCATATTTTGCTCTATCATTGCCGAAAAGCTGACTTTCCAATTGACCAAATAGTCAAGTTCACCAGATTTTTCAGCTGTTTGGCTGTTTGGTTCACAAATTGGTAAATCAAGCTTTTATTGAACTTACTTTGTGATAATCGGAGATGGAAATATGATCTGTCTGCACTGATTAAAACTGGGTTTAGTATAACCAATATACATGAAGAATTGTTGTTCTGAGGATTACTTACCCATCGTACGGATTCTGATGTCGTAACATTATTTCATCATAGACGAAGCAAACAGGCTTTGGAGCTAAAAGTTGAGTACCTGCGCAGAAAAGTAGGAGCTATCACAGCAAATCAGGAAATAGAAAACAAGATATCACTCCAAAAAATCAATGTCTTGATTTTTTCCTGGACCTGATCATATTGATTATTTTTATTCAGATGATGCCACTGTGTTTATTTGATCACAGTTATTAAAGATGTAGCAATATTCAATTCAATAATTTACAGTGAAAAAAAAAAATAAATAAATAAAGAAATAAATAAATAAAATTAATTCAGAACTTACTTATGACTCTACTCATTATGAGCAAACTAAGGGTCATATTTATGTTTGTTGCTCTAACAGATCTTTTTCTGAGGGGGCCATATTTATGTTCCACAGTGACTACAGAAGGTTAGAGTTCAGGCCACTTTTTAGTGTGTGTGTGTGTGTGTGTTTTTTTTTTTCCTCTTCATTTCTACGTACTTAATGAAGCTCAATGATAGTGTGAAAAAAACAACAGCAAAAATCAGATTTATCAAGATACTCACGGTATATTAAGTCATCTAATCGTTTTTTGATCAATTCTTTGGTTTCATTTGATTGAACAGGGTAACAGTTGCGGGTTTCATACTTTTCAAGTTTTGCTTCGCCTTCAAACTTGAATGGAGCAATAGGAACATGTTTTTTTACGGTCGGAGGCAATTCACTCTTTTCGTTGAGTTTGTACTTTTCCGTGAACTGATAACATTGCCAGTAATCTTGATGAGTGTAAATCACATTCAAAATAGTTTCAATTATGCTGAAAAAAGGAAAAAGTTATAGGATGTTTCCTAAAGGCAAAAGGATGAGAAAAAATAGCAAATGATCCAGTGAATATAAATGACATGAAGGACATTACAAAATAGAAATTTAATTTGAGAGCAAAAGAGATGTCATTGTGGGGAGCTTTTTATTTCTTTCTTTATTTATAAGAGGATAGGAGCTAAAAATTCTACCATGTAGAGGAAACTTAAATTAAAGTGTCCTTCCAAATTTTGACTTCTACATTGCGAAAGAAAATAAATTTAAATTTAACTACCAAAGAGCAATAAAAGAATTTTGCAATGAGTCTTGAAACACATGAGGGACTTAGCATAAATTATTTCAAAATACCTTTCCTGAATTCTTCTGTGATCAGTATTACCATCAAACTTAGTGACAGAATTAAAAAAAGTTGTATCATTCAGGATGATTTATGGTTGAAAAAAACATGGTGAGTATGGAGTTAAAAATCTCTGAAAGATTAGCATTAAAACTTTTGTTTAACAGAGCACTTGAGACATCCATTGACCTAAGTCAAAGGATTCACAATAGGTTGAAAAAGGGCTTTACCTGTCACAAGGTTGCCCGAGAGATTCTATCATAGGAACCGGATCTCCCAAGAGTGAACGTAGTGTTAAAGCTGCACCTTCGGCTAATGATTTCAGGCAGTATCCACCCTACAGATATAACAATTTCGATCATTGTAAAAGGCTCATCGAGTTATTAAATTTATAAGAGGAAATAGAAAAGGTATGAACGAAAAGGGGAAAAGATACACTGAAGATAACCCAAATTTAGGGAGAAGACATCTTTTAGGAAATATCCCATGTAGGTGTTTCTCCAAAAAAAAAAAAAAAAAAAAAAAAAAAAAAAAAAAAAAAACAATACAAAAATCTTATCCACAAAATTAGATAAATTTGCATCTGATGATTTAAATCAAATTTTTTGAGCAAATGGAAGGAAGACTGGACAGAATGATCACTGAACTCATGGAGGATACCTTCTCCCATAACCATTTTTGGCTAAAAAAGGAGCTTAAGAGACACGAAAAAACTCAAGTGTGAAGTAAAGATTCTTAAATGTATTCTTCTGACTTCTGTTTCGTCAAATGTTATTTTGTACTCAGATGCTCTTGCAATAGTGGCAAAATACCTAGCTTGATTATCAATTTACTGTGTTTAAACTCGTTTACGTGTAGAAATAATCATGCCAAGAAAATATTTACCTCAAGAATAACTGCGATTTTGCCATGAGCAAAGGCAGAAAGACTGTTCACCAAATGTGCGTAACAGGCTGGAGTAATTTCCATCTCTCCCTATGAAACAAGAGAAACTTTAAGTCTTATTAAGACAGAATTTTTGAAAAAAGGTAAAGTCTAAAACTGAATGTTGCTATCAAAGATATTTTCAGTATCATTAATTGATGAGTCCATTTTTGAGAAAAAAATAGTTACAGCTTATATTTATATTGTAAGGAATCTTTGTATCGGTATGATTAATTGCTCAACTTGCTTCGTCTGTTACATGAAGTGGGTCCCAAATTTTTGTTCCGGAGGAGAAAAACAAATAGAATTATCAATAGAGTGATTGGACCAAGTTTGATAGAACGCACCAAGTCACATTTTGGAAAAAAATGAATTGGGAGTAGTTTTGAATTCAACTAGTCGTCAATTTTCTAGGGTCAAAAAAAATAATTCAAAAGTAGAAATTGTCGTTTAAGCTTTGTCCTTGACACAGAGTCTTGAAGAGGAATAAAATTTTGAGCCTATTTTTCTTGGTTCAAACTTGATGCGACTTAGGGGCCGTTCATAAAATATGTGCCGCTGTAAGGGGTAGGGAGAGTCAAGGTGACCGTTTTGTCATTTCCTTTTACATGTTAAAGGATAGGGACCTACGTCACAAAGTCGTTATGAAAGGGGGAAAAGGGGCAAAAGCTCTGAAGTTAGCATTGTCTATTTTATGAACAGTCCTTTGGTGCGTTTATATTTTTCATGGTCAGTTCAATTGATAATGGTCTTTCTAGATTTGTTACTGATTGATTTGTAAAAGAAACACTTTAAAGATAACCAAATTAAACTTGGCAGTTATTTCTAGACTTATCACCCCAATTCTAAAACGCATTGTGGAAAAGTTGTCATCCTCAAGTTTTGCGCTAGTTTCAGTTTCTTTAAGTTCTGTATTTATGGATGAAGAAAAACCTGGAAAAAGAGGGTAGGTTAAAATACTGACCTACTTGTACCATCTTTTTCCTTTTCCCCATTTATCTTAGGTATTAAGATGTAGCTTTACCCAGTTCAATTAGAATGAATGACACTGGCGAGAACTAGAAAGGGAAAATAACAGACAAAAATCACATCTGAAAATGGCACCATTCAACAGTAATTTATATGCCGACCAACAGGTCGACTGATGATTGATGCTCTTTAGATTGATGTGCCATTTGTCTGTCCTTTTCTTTCCCCAGCTCTAATTTCAAGACAAGAGGCAGGAGCATGCTACAGCTGGAGGAAGAAGAAAACATAAAATCATTCATTCCTCTACTAATTAGAGTCATTCATTTCTCATAATTATTATTAGGAATAAAATATTCATGTGTTAAAATGTTTGTTACTAGAACAAATCTATGTGTATTATTTAGTGCAAACAAAATCATTGATGTTGGCTTAATTTAACGGTTTACAACATGGAAAGAAAGCCAAAAAATAAAGAAAAGCATGAGCAATAAAGGATGAAGAGATAATATTGGTCACAAGACATTAACAGCTGAAAATAAATCAGTTGAGGATATAATAAATTAATATAATGATTAGAAAGTAAATTATGTGCTTGAAAAATTCAAGGAGGTAAAATTTTTAAACATAGATGGTCACTTGGCCAGGAGAAACCCCTTAATAGGTTAAAGGTTTTGCAAAAGTAGTTGTATTTTATGTCTGGGGTGCAAACATATTTTCGCTGTAACATCAGATCTAGGATCATGCACTATTGCTTTAATCATTTTGTTCTTCTTCTTTTTTGTGCTTGTGAGATTGAAAAAACAAAATGAACAGGAAAAATAAAAAAAAGAGTTAAACCTTTTCGTCACCCATGGCTGCGTCAAAGCCAGCCGAAATAAGAACCAACTCAGGCGCAAACTGGAATAAAAAAAAATAATTGAAATAGGGACTTTGAAAGCATACAAGGAGTGCATGGAAAATCAAATAATAATATCAAGAGGGAAAATTGTTACAATTGGAGAGACTAAAGCATCCGAAATGAGGCCAAAAATATTATCCACAACCACTTGCAAAAGAATAAACTACTTGGTTCCATTCATACTACCTCAAAGCAGCCAAGGGCAGCATCATATCCTGAAGAGACTATAATTAATTCTGGCTGAAACTGTAAGATGAATTCATGATGTATTAGCTCACATTTATCATAATTTCTACAAATGGGCACTATTACCATTACAATTGAAAATTTTTTTAAGACTAGAGATATTATCAACATGTTAACGATGGCTTGGAGCAGCCATGAATCCATCATCATGCTAGCGCCTGACAGTATTATCTTGAATGAATCGTATCATGGATGAAAAGTGACTTGACTCAAGCCAGCAAAATAGAAAAAATTGAGTGACGATGACCTTAGTCAAATACCTTAGTATAATGTGACTAGAGTCACATTATAATAGTTTAATTAAATAAATGAATTGGATTTGATTAGATTAATAAACATATTTAATCAACTTGGTGAGTAGAGGCGGGCCGAAGTTCACCTAAGTCATGTCTTTGTCTCCTTGCAGGCAAGCTAAAACTGGTGTACAAACATGGTACAAAATGCCAAATGGATAAAAACTAGTTACTGAAATAATTTAAAAAAGGAGGAGTTGCGTTTTGGGCCTTTTCCGGCCCCACCTGGATTTTGCTAAATGTTTCATATTTTCAAAGTACTAGTCTTAGGTAGACTCTGTGCCAAATATTAGACCGATCGGAGCCCATGCAAGGGCGCAGCAGCGCCTCAAACCCAAAATCCTGGAATCGAAAAACAATTATTTTCGTCGACTTTTTCGACTGTTATCACTCTTCCAGCACATGATTCTTATGTATTTTTTTGCGTACTTTTCGTTTCTGGCCTTTTTAAAGGCCTCCGATAAATTTTAAGGGGCCTTATGGCCCATTGTTGCCATTTTTGGCCCATTTTTAGGGGTTTTTTCCATTTAACACATTCAAAACTCAATTTAATCCAAAAACTGTGTACATTTTTGAAAAGTACGTAAAGAAATAAATAAAAAAGGTTCAGTAAAATTTTTTCCTATGTTGTCAAATTTCCGAGAAAATTCGTCCCAAAGTGTCAAAAACGGCAAAAAATCGATAAATCGCCGCGTCTAAGGTTCAAGAAAGTGGAGTACATTTTTCATACTGTACCAGATAACAGCTCTTATCCATCCATACAACATACTAAAATATCATAGTTGTACCTGGATTCCCACGATGTGAAAATTGACCGAGATGTCGATTTTAGCGGCCTTTTTATACTTGAAGGCAGCTCTTTTGAATGTTTTTCGACCTTAGTCACCCTCTATGGGTGTGTACTATATGTATTTTTCTACGTACTTTTCATATCTGGCCATAAAAATGGCTTCCTGTGGATTTTAAAAGGCCTAACGGTCCATTGTTGCCAATTTTCACCAATTTTTAGGGGTTTTTTCAAGTTTACGTGTGTGAAACTTAATTTAATCTAGAAACCGTGTACAATTTCGGAAAGAACGTAAAAAAATACATAGGAATGTGATTTGTACCTTTTCCCTACGTTGCCAAACTTTCGAGAAAAATCGTCCTGAAGCGTCAAAAATGCCAAAAATTGGATTAATCATCACGTCGGAGGTTCCAGGAAGTGAATTTCAAGTTTTTTTTCACTACAAATAACGTATCGAAAATGGAAAATTGCAATGCATCTCAAGGAACATGTAATCGCGTAGATGAACGTGACAAAACGGGCCCTCAAGGTGCTTTTACTTTATCCTTCACTCCAGTTCACCTCTTTATTCCTGTAACCTCGAGATAATCCTTGGTTCTCTAGATGCTTGCTACAGGCCAAATATACCGAAGAACAGAAAATGCGTGGAGAAAGTGTCCCACGATCCACATGAATGTCATAATTCACTTCCTGGAACCTCCGACGTGATGATTAATCCAATTTTTGGCATTTTTGACGCTTCAGGACGATTTTTCTCGAAAGTTTGGCAACGTAGGGAAAAGGTACAAATCACATTCCTATGTATTTTTTTACGTTCTTTCCGAAATTGTACACGGTTTCTAGATTAAATTAAGTTTCACACACGTAAACTTGAAAAAACCCCTAAAAATTGGTGAAAATTGGCAACAATGGACCGTTAGGCCTTTTAAAATCCACAGGAAGCCATTTTTATGGCCAGATATGAAAAGTACGTAGAAAAATACATATAGTACACACCCATAGAGGGTGACTAAGGTCGAAAAACATTCAAAAGAGCTGCCTTCAAGTATAAAAAGGCCGCTAAAATCGACATCTCGGTCAATTTTCACATCGTGGGAATCCAGGTACAACTATGATATTTTAGTATGTTGTATGGATGGATAAGAGCTGTTATCTGGTACAGTATGAAAAATGTACTCCACTTTCTTGAACCTTAGACGCGGCGATTTATCGATTTTTTGCCGTTTTTGACACTTTGGGACGAATTTTCTCGGAAATTTGACAACATAGGAAAAAATTTTACTGAACCTTTTTTATTTATTTCTTTACGTACTTTTCAAAAATGTACACAGTTTTTGGATTAAATTGAGTTTTGAATGTGTTAAATGGAAAAAACCCCTAAAAATGGGCCAAAAATGGCAACAATGGGCCATAAGGCCCCTTAAAATTTATCGGAGGCCTTTAAAAAGGCCAGAAACGAAAAGTACGCAAAAAAATACATAAGAATCATGTGCTGGAAGAGTGATAACAGTCGAAAAAGTCGACGAAAATAATTGTTTTTCGATTCCAGGATTTCGGGTTTGAGGCGCTGCTGCGCCCTTGCATGGGCTCCGATCGGTCTAATATTTGGCACAGAGTCTACCTAAGACTAGTACTTTGAAAATATGAAACATTTAGCAAAATCCAGGTGGGGCCGGAAAAGGCCCAAAACGCAACTCCTCCTTTAGACTGATGATGATGATTCTTGAAGTCTATATTTCTTGATTGAGATAATTATATTCAGACAAGATTCTTCGATTCAAATATTCGGAATAGTTATGTTAAATAAATATATCTTCAATGTATGAATGACGATAAAAAATCTCCAAAAAAATATTCCATTCTGCTGAGGTAATACCTACCATTGTGTCAGAGATTATGGTTACTCAAATAACTAAAAATTTACCATAGCTTGACCTGAATCAATCAAAATTGAGGTGCTGAGTGCAAGAGGAGCACTTCTCGGTTGTGGTGTTTCAGAATCCTCAGTAATGTTTTATTTATTATGAGGGAGGTGAATGAATACATTTTATTAAAATTTTCACTGCATATTCTTCATGACTCTTCGATATTCTACAGAAAAAATTCTGGAGAAATCACCCATTAGTTCTCCAAGACATAAAATAGCAGCAGAGATTCTGAAACACTGCAACAGAGAAGTGTTGTGCTAGCACTCAGCGTCTCAATTACAAGTATGTAGGTACTCCAATGAGCAACACTCGTCAGGTACTTGTATAAAAATAGATATAAATATAAATATAGCATACATAAATTTAAGCCCTTTTTTATGATTCAGTTGTATTTGTATCATTTCATGTCTCAAACTTTAAACCAGAGAGGGAAAATTTTATTGGGCTTACAATATGTGGCCTGCGAAATGTTAACCCTTTCCGGTCCAATGTCGGATATATTCGCCGTGAAAAATAATGCGTTTAGGTCCGATGTCGGATATAGTCGCCCGAAAGTTTTAACCTCTGTGCAGGCCTGATGTCAGGTATATTCAACTACTCCAGCAAGTGGCGGCCTCTGGTGGACCCTTTGGAAACCACTGTCTTTGTTGACAACATCGCTGCTACCTTAACCTCGCTTCTCGCGGCCGTGGAAAACTGCTGCGGACCGGAAAGGGTTAAAAAAAATAAAATAATAATTGGCATCCAAAGATAGGACGAGTCATGAGTGCCTGAGAAAGGAACCATACAAAACTGTATTTTTAAAGCAACGACCAATTTCAGATATGTCATTTTTTATACGAAATGCAAAAAAAGTTACCTCTGAAGCTAAAGGTAAAAGCAGCTGATGGAAAATCGCCAAGTAATCTGTATTCGTCATTCCAGTTTTATTGAGAGGTACATTAAAATTGTACCCTCTGCCAGCACCTGTGCCGATGTAATCAAAATCACTTTCCCTTAAGTTAGGCCAGAATGTTCCATGCTCATAACGATGTATAGAAAAATATACAACTCTGGAATAATGGAAGGAAAAAATTAAAAATAATACAGAAACTATCATGAGCCAAAATTGACATTTATTTAAAGTCAATGGATGGTTAAACTAAAAATAAAATGAAAGATAAATGTGCGGTGATTTGATAAACAAACCGACAAAGAAAGTAATTTTACCGGATTATTGTCACAAGTTGATCAATGTAAGTATAACGATATTTCAAAAGAAAGTAGCTAAACGATCTTGAACGATAATTTCAAATTAAAAGTATTGTATGAAGAAGCTGGTACTGAAAGGAGATACAGATGACAATAAATGGACATACTCAATAACATTGTAATACATACCGATTGTCGTCGAAGAACATTTGTTGTGTTGCTTGTCCATGGTGGACATCCCAGTCAACAATAAGTATTTTGGATACACCAAGATTGTCTAAAGCATGCTGTGCTGCTAATGCCACGTTGTTGAAGAAGCAGTAACCACAATATTCACTTTTCATTGCATGATGTCCTGGTGGTCTGAAAAAGTAAACTGAGTGATTACTTTGAGTTGATAACAAAGAATGGGAGGATAAGTAACAGGAGTAACAAATGACAACAGATTAGAAAACAAAGATGACACAATCCAAGAACAATGTACAGGACAATGCACTTCAATGTTTAAGAAACCATTTCTGCACAGTTTCTGTTCTCTACTTACAAAAATTTCCTGAAAATCTTTCAGTTACTCGCAGCAAACAACTTTACAACCAAAATTTTCTGAAAAATTTTGTTTGTCTCATTCTCAATGTGCTTTGGAGAGGCTCTAAAACATTAGGATATGGCATCTAATGCCGAACTTGAGAGAAAGACTTAAAAATTGCGTCAGGAACTTGTTAGATCAGTAAAAGAGACATTGCACTTGAACGCAGAGCAAAACAACGAGAACAATAATGAGTAAAACATTTCGAACTTTTGATCGAAAAACATTTTGAACTTTGATCTTAAATTTTGAAAGAGAAACGAATACATAATAAGATAAACTAACCTGATAATGGCCATGCCATTCTGAATTTCATTCTTGCAAACAGCTTCAACGAGGTCGATTGTACTACCAGCCGCCAGCAAAGACAGTCGATATGTGCTCTAAAAATGCAATATATCAGTCAGACCAGGGTAACAAAGTCAAAGCATATTGGCTGAAGAAATTTTTTTATTCTAGATCTTACGTTCCATCCTTAATCATTTGCATTGTTTGCAAATCTTATAGACTAGATTTTGCACAAGGGAACCGCTACTTCTGAAATGACCTCCAAATCATCTATCTGTATAGGGCAGCTAATAGCATATCATTGTTTCGAGAAAGAGCTGAAAGAGGGGTTGTATTGGCTACAGTTGAATGTGTAACAAATTCAAGGAACTATGTTCAAATGACAAAAAAAATTTTCAGCTCTTCAAGATATCGGTAACAATACATAGGAAATTTAGCAGAATACCTAATTTTACAATTTTTTTTAAAACAGATACTTGATACTTACAGGGTGAATATAAATGGCATCATAGTGTGAGGAAATATCTTCCAACTCCTCAAAATTTTGGCTATTTTCAGTAGCTCTCAACAGTTCAATTTGTTTTGGTGAGTGTTTTTTCAAAACTTCTTCCTCACTTGCTTCACGAGATTGAATCTGTTTGCATCGAGGAAGTAAACCCATTTCTTGACACCTGTTAAAAAAATATTTAAAGTTGTAATTACTGCTACTGCAAATAAAAAGAGTTTGTAATTTTAAATTAAAATATTCATTTTAGGACACTTAATCTAAAAAATTTTCTCTAACTACATCCAGGAAAACAGATGCAGGAGACCATTCTAGTTTTAAATGATGCACTTTTTCAAATTCTTTGGCCTTCCCCTCTGCAGTACTCGAACGCTCTCCCATTAGTGGGATTACAAAACTTGAACTGTTTCGTTGGATCTAACCATACATTGCAGAAAAAGAAGTTTATTGGAAAAGAAGGTGTTGTTCACTATACAACGAAAATTTGTCAAAACATATTTTGCTCATGATTTCTTTTAAAAAGAAAATTTTATTCAACATTTTTTTTTCTGACTTACTGGATTGGACTACAACAAATGCACAATTTACTCGTATTTCTGAGTAGTTTGTATGGGAAAGTACTAATTTCCCACTTAATCAAAACTTACATTTTTCATCGATTGTCCATGTTCATCATGGTAAATCTTTTCTGCACTACAGAGAGGCTATTGAGAAAAAAAAAAGAGAATAAAACGAAATACGAAAGATTTTCAATTCTTCTTTTTCAAGTAAAATTATTTTCTTTCTTGTTCTCTCTCTACAGAAGGAAGGAAATTTATAACAAATGAGACGAATATTTGATAGCAATGAGGTAATTTCTCACCTGGATAGAACGTAAGTAAATCTGTCGGGACATTCTGGGTAGTTTTCATCCCAAAGACAATGATGTTCCACCATACGTTTATCATACACAACTCCTGTTGGTTTATTGACCATAGCCTTAGCATCCTCAGCCTGCAAGAGAGAAATGTAAAATTTAAAAGTTAGAACAAGATACATGTATGAGGTGAAAATAAATAAATGAATTAATGGTCAAGTGTATAAAACCTGAATTTTGGACAAACTCGGACAGATATCCTTGGACATTACTGAATTATACTACAATATCCTGCGCAAAGAATCAACTGGTATACTTGGGAAAAAATTATCAGAAGTAATCAAACCATTTGAGCAAGAGATAAAACATTTTGGGTGAACATGAATCGATACTCAGTTATGAAAATTAGCAACTAAGCTATTTGTTTGTTCTGTTAGTGCAGTCGAGGGTATGATTAGATAAGTGAATAATGATATACACTGGTAACTGAGAATTTTATGTGTTTGAAGTTACCATTTGGTTGAATATGGTTCTTCCTTAGGTAAGGTGCAACACTTTAAAAGTAGAGGGTGAAAAGAAACACACAAATTGGAACACATTGCAACACAAACATCTTCGGAGAACACACTGAGACCACTTGAATGGAGACTCCATAATGAGCTGATTCAATGTTTATCTTCCTTTATCTTTTCTTCACCTGGATAATCAATTTGAGTGCAGTTTCACCCTCAGGTCAACTTGTATGAGAAATATAATAAAATTCATTGAGAACAAATACAGAGTTCCTTTTTAGTGTGATTCCTTTTTGCTTGATCCTTAGTCTAGTTTTAATTATTAAAGTGAAGTGTTATTATGATGATTACATACATTCACCTACAAAGAGGCTATGTTCATGACTTTGCTTGGAATTACATTGTAAATTCTGCAATAGAATACTCTTACATCTACATTCTTCAAAACTCATCCGACTATCTAGCTGTGAGAAGACTAATGCAGAATTGAATAAGAAAAAATGAATGATTTTAATCATGAGCCACTAGATAGGTTACACTAAATAAAAGGTCACTTCTTTTCTTTTTAAAATTCGTGTAGAAAACAATTCACACAGCTGAAAGTTTGAAAATTAACTCTTAAACAAGATATTGACAAGTGGGCATTGTTAACACAAATCAAATGGAAGATGGATTAAAGCGTAATAGTATTTGAACAATAAAGTAGACGTTTGATGAACTCACCAATTGATAAATATCTCTGATGTTGACAACGTATGTTTGAGCTTTTTTGGCTCTTTCGATAGCAGCTTTCTTTGCAGCAATTAGAGAGGCAGATGGAGTACGACCCTGGAACGAAGTAAATGAAAATATATATTAAGCTAAATAAAGTGGCTTGGAAGTAAATTGAGGGAGATAGAGCTGTGGACATCAGAAATCCTTGAAATTATTGTGAACATCAGCAACATCAACGCAAACACTGAACAGTGTTTCAAAATATGTTTAACTGATATCTATCAGAAAAGAACAAAGCACCTCCAGGGGAGCTCTAGTTGTGTAGCAGTGTGAAATAGGATTTAAGGTCATTTGCTTGACGTTGTTTTCTCAATCTTCATGAATCTCTTATCTATTATAAATGACCACTACGTTTACGAGAGCAGTTTAATAGTTTTTCAATTCCTGGTTGAATAAAAGAAGCAGGGACTTTATCACCTTGAGACATCTGATTGATGATGTACTTAATAGTTTATGTTCTGCTTAGTTTTGACAGCACGCTATTCATAGATCTTCAACAAAACTTATTACTTTCATTCCGTTGCATATTGAATACATATTTGATCATGTATTAATATAGTTATTGACATCAGTGAACCTGATATAAACTTGTAGTATGATGAAGTTGATGGAATATGTACTTGTAATCAGTGGGCCGATAATGATTCCTTGTCATAAAATCAACAGACAAGGTGTGCTGATGATGACCATCATTGACAGAAAAGGAGCATAGATCACTAACTAAATGAACATTAACGATACTCAAAAAAAGGGACAGATCTTTGAGAGGGAAAATTGAGAACGGTTTCGGAAGAAGGGCCTATGAAACAAAGAAGGGTTCATTTTCTCCTCCAGTTCCAACCTGACAAGCAGATATCAACAGTCTCAGCTACACCATCGTTTGACCAGATAGTTGCTGTTCAGAGAAACATGTGCACCTGAGCCATTATGGACCCTGCTTACGAAACCCCTCACAACTGTTGATAAGATCTCTCCCTCTGTTGAGAGAATTTTTAGTTCACCAAAAATGGTACCGATGACCACAGTGTACCTTCAGAATCTTTGTCTCATAAATGAGAACTGTTCATGTGTGAGAAAGTGCATTCACTTTTTTAAGTTTCAAGTTTATGAACGGATATCATTACATCTGTTCAAAAATTTCATCTCATTGGACCTCAGTCCTCAGAAGTTAAACGATGAATTCGAAAAATTTAAAAGACATGGAAATACCTTGGAATTCAGTCGATTGGAACGACGAACAGGAGCTCCTTGGTCTGGAGAATCGTTCTTAGGAGCACTGGACATCTTGAAAAAAAATAAAATTACTTGTATGTGAGCATAAACAATTCCATGAGTGGGCATGGGACGACAAATTATAACCAAACCAAAACAAAACAAATCAACAAAACACAGCACACCTCCGCACCATGGACCAAGAGAATAAATAAGGACTCCCAACTCCCTATGCTAACCTGTGTTAAAAACCGTTAACGCGCGCTCGCAGCGAACCTGGCAAAGGGTGCGGTGAACTAACGCCACAGCGGTCCACGATCGTACCTCTATAGTATGTTATTCCATGCAATGTTCTTTGTTTATCTATGATTTATTTATTTGTGTAGATACTTTAATACATTTTACTTTCGCAAACTAATGAAATTGTATAGATACATACCTTCTGCAGAGGTCAATGCGAAAGACTTTGATTTGAAGTATCTCATCAAAACACGAGCAAAGATGATTCAGTCAACTTCTGACGCAGAATCAAAGAGACTTGCTAATAATCAAATTAAAGGTAATGCTTGAAGTCAAGTATCTTTGATTTTGTGACTCAGTTGATTTTTATCAGTACAACACTATTTCTCACTAAAAAGATTTCACTTAACAGAGAGGCGCCTTCGGCTAAAAGTACAATCCTGTGATTCCTGCTGCACACTACATACACACTTCCTTTGGCTTTCTCAACAGCAGTTGCTGCTGAGTAAAACGGTTAGAAATAACACTTCACATTAATACCAGTTTATGTACACGAAGACTGACGAAGATTGAAATGAAAATGGGAAACTTTTCACACTAAACTCTTCAAAACTGCAGGGCGACCACGAGGATACGAGGATCTAGAAACTTCTATGAGCACTACTGAGTGATAAGCCTGAATAGGTGGTGCATCGAAATATATGTAAACAGGAAGACCCAATCATCGGTTTAGTTCACTACACCCTCTGCCAGGGAGCGCTGATGTCAGCGCTAACCGGAGTTGGGGGTCCTTATTTATTCTCTTGGTCCATGTCCGCACCTCCCTCCCACGCTTGCGCCATGGCAGTTGGCCATTTTGTGCGTCATCAGGCAGATGCAGGGCAGATGTGACGTCATTGCTCTCAGACTTAAAAAATCGGACCGGGAAGTTCACCCTCCCCCCTCCCCTTTGAGGCCCTTCAATGAGCGCAGCTTTAAAGACATTTCCAACGGAGAACACATCATCCTTTAATCCGTGTACCTGGTTTTTTCAAATAATTCAGGCTGTCATTTGTACAGGGTGTCTCACCACCCATTCCAGGCTTTTTTCTCATTTTTTTTGGTCTCTGTTTAGATTGCACGAAGTTAGGGACCGCGAGGTTGACTTGGGTATCGACCCCAAGGAATCCAAATTTCATACTCCCCGGGGGGGGGGGGGGGGGTTAAAGGGGGGTCGCGATTCTGAAAGTCGGTGCTCCCGACCAAATTATGAGTAAAATGCAATAGAATAGAGAAATACGGAAAATTAGGTACACTTCATTGACACCTAACAATCCAAAATTGGCTCACCCTGGGCCCAAAAGTAACCACCTGAAGAGGGGGTCAGGATCCCCCTCCATAATTTCTCTGATCGCTAAATTGACGTAGATTTTCCGAAAACAAATGGCACCCCACGTAAAGGAGCATTGCGAGTTCGCGCATAGCGCTATCGCGCCTTCAATTTTGCAGATGCAACACGGACATCCATTATGTACGAATAGTTGTATCTCTGCGCTGTCATCAACGCGCCTCCTTTTACTTTGTTCTATTTCCATACTGTGTTTGTTCCGGTTCGTCTTATTTGTATTTTAGCGGTGCTTTAAAGTCTGTATGAGCAACACAGCCGAAAATAGGAGAGCCGTAATAATCGAGCCTAGCTCGTTTCTTAACTTTCCTCACGACACCGCACTGGCAGCATGAAGCGGGGCTGCGGAACATCGCGAATTCACAGCTGGCGCCATCGCGCCTTCAATTTTGCAGATGCAACACAGGCATCCATCAAGCACGAATAGTTGTATCTCTGCGCCGTCTTTCCATTTGCTCTATTTCCATATTGTGTTAGTTTCGTTTGTCTCATTTGTTGTTGCGCTTCAAGGGCTACTTGAGCAACACAGCCGAAAATAGGATGTGCCCTAATCAATTATCACTTTGAAAAGAAAAAAAATGTTAGAGGTCTTTCAAGCGATCAAAGGAGCGCATACGTCTAAAAATTGGCTCTACTACCTCTTCTGAGAGAGTGACACGTGGCGGATGAGGAAGGGGGTTGATAAAGCGTCTCTATGTTACCACAAAGGTGAAAATTTCGAGGGAAAATTTTTTTTACCAATCTTAAAAACTTTATGCATAGGTATTTTGTCACTGGACAAAAGTTCGAGAGCTATTTTGATTTCCTTACTTAATGACGCTCATCATCCCCTTTTCGAGAACTATGATCGAGGAAAATTTTCAATGCCTCAAAGCTAATTTTACGACGGAGAGTGACCAATTTTTCGTGCAATAGCGAAATCTAAAAGCGTAAAGCGTAATAACGGAAGTTTTCAAAATACTGAGCTGCGGATACAAAATCTGAATTCAGCACATAAAAAAAAAAACCAAAACATCAATTTTCCAGCATTTTTGTAGGCCCAGGGGACGCTATGGGGACTTATTTCCGGTTCACATAGTTCCAGGACCTCCATTCACCACTATCATGCGTACGAGGACCTTCCTTTACTCCTACTTTCACTTCTCCCGTCCATTTATGAATTTTCCGCATTTTTTCTCGGTCATAATTTTTTTTCCCATCTCATTTTGCTGTATGTGGCAGAGGGGCGCGTCTTCGATGCGTCAGGGGGGCGTAACTGCCAATGGCAGATTCGCCTTATGGCCAGTCTGACTCTGTCTGGGTGCAACTATACCTCCTCTGATGTTGTTTAAGTTGCGTACACGTAAAATGAAGGAGCTCCGAGTTGTCACAGCCTCCAGTGCGCACCTTACCGCGCCGATTCTAAGTAGAAGACAAAATAATTCCTCACCGATAGGATGTAGAAACGTATTCCACGAATTGAGCTCACACCATTTAAAAAACAAATGGATAAATAAATAAAAAATCTTAAAAAATTACAAGTTTGAAAATTGTACGTGGGAAAACGCAGGAATAAGTCGCAATATTCATGGCTTGAAAATTTTACGTAGAAAATTCGTGAAAAAATTGGAGAGGTGAACAGAATTTTTTACGTATTATATTTCCTTTCTGACCTAATTTACTATTTTTTTTAAAGAATTTGTGTGGTTTCCTTGTAAATCTTTCCCTTTTTTCCATTTTTTACGTAGGAGATGCACAACAAATCATATCTAGTCATTAGTTCACGCGAATGTAAATTTAGTATGAGTACCTATCTATATACGATGTTTTGGAACACACTATGAGTGTGTCATTTGGATGAGTAGTGGGCACTTTCCAAATGAAAATTACCGCCTTGTTGTTGTCATAATTTGTAACTAGCCTTGCTCTAATAATTATTCTCAACACTCTCAATAATTCATTATTAAAATGATACAATTCGTTATAGGTACGCTTCAAGTCCAATCCATTTGCAACCTATACTCCCATTTGCCTCTGAAAGTACCTGCATGGTGGTAGTCGAGGCAATTTAATTTGCTGTGTAATTAGATATTTTAATTCAGTCGGACTACATTCTAAGCGCACTCAACGAACCCTATCACGTCGAATTCTGCACTTCAATAGTAAATGATTTAAGTTGTGGTAAATAGTTTTTTTTATGACGATGAATTTGCGAAGTATTTACAGTCGTTTCTGGCGAGATTTGCACAAACCTAATGAGAATAGTTTTTATGAATGCGTTATGCCTTTTTTGACGATTTTAAAACTGATGGGACTGTTTCCGATAAGAATGATTTACACAGGTATTCATAATTTTTAAGCGATTTTCATGTGCTATAGATAGTGTATTGCGTTCTATGTGGATATTTTCAACTTTTTTAGTCGGTACCTAAAGTCGCAAAAGGCAAATCTCCGATTGCAACGTTGCAGGTATCCGCCCATGTTTCAATGATAATTATTCTACAGTTCTCCATAAAATTCGTTGAAAATTTTCTTCACTTATTGAAATACTAGCGGGAAATCCGTGCTACGCACAGGAAAACTCCCACAATCAGTTATCACAGTGATTAGTGATCAGTTACAAAATTCAGATCTTCGTCACCATCGGCATACGTAATTATACTTTTTGAAAGACATTTTAAGTTAGCACTTCTGAATATCTAGGTTACCCTATATCTATTTGACAGCTTCTTCAGCTTAAAAATTGAAAATGCGCATGTTAATTGACGCTGTGTTAAATAGAAATATCCGGTTGAATTCCATAATCAGGTCCGATACCTAGTTCTATTTATTCTGTCAATTCTTCCAGATACTAAATTCTTTCCCTGGGGATACACGTAGAAAAGTGACGAGATTTTTTTTCAGAGGTACTCAGAGGAAGTCGCTATTAAGCCTCCTCTTATTCAACAGCGTTTTTATTATCTGCTCTAACACGCGGATACAACTATTGCGGCTCCTGAGAATTCGCTATTGCCTACCCTGTCAATTGCAGGGAAACATGCTTACCTAGCTACCTTCCAGAAAACTACAAACGCACGTTACACTCATCTCTCACTGTATGGAACACNGGGGGGGGGGGGGGGGGGGGACAATTCAAACTTTAAAACGTTCCACAAAATTTTGAACAGCTCATCCGATTTTGAGTTTCGAGATGAAAGATTCGCGGTAAAAAACTCAAGTAAGTGTCAATGTAAAATTTGGATGAACTGTATGAAATATTTTGAGGACAGTCTGCTATACAAGTAGGTAACACATTGCAACGAAAATGATTGAAATGAAATGGCTATTTATTGCAATAAAATTTCAATTTCTTACCATGAAATTGCCATATTTTACACCATTTGGTATACAAATGCCGATTTTATACAATGAACAAAATGAGCTCCATGCGTCGGAAAGATAGGCAGTATGCAATGCAATAAAAAATTGCAACTTATTTCAATTTCATTGCAATACATTTCAATGAGAAGTGTTCCTTCGATCAGTGGCCATGCAACATAATACAACACTCCGATGAAATAACAATAATTCTACCGTGTAATTGCA